CCAAAAAAGGGGTAAAGGTAAAGGACAGTACAAGAAGGAGACAAGATTCTTGGATTGTCAAACTTAATACAACGAAGGTCCCAGATGTTTTAGAGAATAGAAAGAGATGACAAACTAAACAAGTTGTTAGCATCAAGGCCAGAATCTTCTGCCAAGCAACAGAAGGTTCTTCACGTTCAGAAAAACGATACAAGTCACATGATTGCTAATAGGCCACAAATGAGTTCTTCACATATTTTCTAAGGCATAGGGGGAATGAAAAAAACATTGACAAATTTGGCATAAGCTGAGAGTTGAATAATTGAGAGACAAACGATAACTAGCTGATAAAATGAGAGTTGATATATTAACAATCTGTCTCAAAACTCCAAGCATGCATGACCATGCCTAGTTGCTGATTTTATACAGTGAATCATAAGCGACAATCACCACAAAAAACGTTGATCACTGATTTCTTATCTAAAGCGCAAAAGCCTCATCCACGGACCATGGTGTTAAACAACAAAAGAAACCATTTACCAGTGGCAAAAATCAAAATCACGTAATTTTGTCATTCTAAAACCCCTAACCCAATCAGGAATAGACAAGTTGCAAGCAATTTTAGATTTGGTAAGGCATTATTCAAGAAAAACATGAAAGATATGAAAGGCACCTACCTCATATACTTTTCTTCTATCATGAAGAAGGTGTTGTGCTTCCAATTCATTTACAAGAAAGGGCCTAAAGAAATCAAGGAGCATCAAAAAAATTTTAATTTCAAATTGCTAAAAAAGCAAATTGCAGTGTTCCAAAGTTTTTGTAAAGACTAAAGGGGAGAAAAAAGCAATCAAACAAAATCACCTCTCCCCTTGACAACAGCAAAAGGTACCAGAAATTGAGTACCCAAAAAGGAAACAGAAACTCTCAGTGAGATGGGAGTACTATAAGCAAAATTCACAGAGGATGATTCTACTGCAAGAGAAAGCTATATTAACAATGCAAACCCTTTTTCTTCTCTCCCAATTCCGACATCACATGCTCTCCAGAGGAAGTACCTTGTGGTAGGGAAAAGCAAGTTGAATACTAGCAGAAGCCTTCATTTCCAGCACCTCACCCTCTCCCCCACCCCCTCAGGAAAAAAAAAAAACCACCAAACAAAAGAAAAGCTCCTCTTTTTAGGGGTATTACAGAGATCTAAACGGCAAAGCAATTATTTGGAAACAGTGAATTTCAGACAAAAAATCAAATACTGTATGGCATGTATAAACATCCATTAGGCATAAATGCAATAGGGATGACAGTAACCATACATGAGAAGACACCAAACTAGAGAGTAAATGTTACACCATGGAAATGGCCAGAGTAAACACTAAGTTACCGGAAATTTTCATTGTCACTGATGTAACCATGTCACAAACATGTTATATGTACTAGTTTAACTGGCTCAGATCCTCCAATCTGCCTAGGCAAAACTACTAAATTTGAACATAACCATGCAGGTAATATAGAGAAGCACAAGTGATTGATGAGCTTCAACAAAGGTTTGGGGGACAGATATAGTAGCCATGAGCAAAATCCACAGAAACAGATGAAAAGATCAGTGAATAAGACTTTGACCTGAACATCATATAATCATCAGTAATACTCTTGAACAATCAAACTCACAAAAGGGGGACCTAGTATTTATCACTATTCACACACACATACACTTTTTGCATGCTGATCTAAAAGTTTGTTTTTTTAACCTTTCCACATTATTTGCTACCAATGGAGGAATAGGACATCATTAATCAACCAGAATCTTTGAAATTTTAAAATAAGAATTCACAAAACGACAATCTTACTCCTCCATCGTCATATAACTCCATATATCATATTTTGGTTGTATTAGAATACACAACAGGAGATGGGTAACGCAAAAAAAGGCTTCAAATTACATACTTTCTCAATGCAGAATATGCTTCAGCTTTTTGCAGGGGGTACCCAGAGGAGTAGAAGGCAATCAAACAATCACATATTGGCCATCTGCAATTGTTCAGAAACTGAGAGAACTAACTAAAATATAATCTTCAAGTAGACTGAAAAATAAAAATCACGAAAAACATTTTCAACCAAAAATTCTCCAATCAAAAGCGTTTCTTCATGTTCAAGTAAACAAAACCACAATGATTTTGATTTGGTCCAGAGGTAAGGGTTAGTAAGTGGCTTTTAATTTGACAAAAACAAAGCCCTACTCCAGTGTGGGTATATATATATATAAGCATTCCTCTACGAGATTACAGTACAATAATGTGGTGAAAATACCTCTCTACGGGGTCCTCGAGAATAACCTTGTCCCCAAAATGAACAATCTACAAGAGCAAAAGAACGGTGCTTTAGATAGAACCGTATATGTTCCAAACAGCAACTTGTGAAACATTGTGACCGATCAATTTTTAAAAATAAATAAATAAATTTTTGATACATTGTGACCGATCAATTTAGGAATAGAAGATAAGCGCACATTCTAATTACTGTGCATTGAATCTATTGTGCGGAATCGAGCAAAAATTGAATTCAATGCAACTATCTTTTTTAGTTTATAAATTAAAAACTCATGAATAAAATGATAGAGACCTCAAATTCACCGAATGCCTGTAGCCTATCCAAAATTTGGAGCATCGGACCTGAAAAAGCCTGAAAATGACACAAAAATTATGTGCATTCATGATTTGTCTACATCACATCACTGCTTTGACATAACCAACAAAAAAAAAAAAATTGTAGATTTTGTATTTAAATAAAATAGGAAAAAAAAAAAAGGAAGAGTAATCTAGTATGGTGGTGGTGGTTGTTTGGAAAAGATACGGAAATTGAGCCTAAAAAAGTACAGAACCTCGGAGCCGCATTTCACCTTCTTTTCCATTACACACACTCCAATCTTAATCTTCCTTCCAATGTCTCCCTCTTCCTCCTCCATCTCTCTCTCCCTCTCCCTCCCTTTATCCATCTCTCTCGCTAGAGAGATTCTGAAAGGAAATGCAATGCCGCTCTCTATGAGTATCAGAGTCTCCCTCTCTCTTATTCTCTGTCTCCTTTTTCTTACTGCTCAACAAAATCCAAAAAGCACCAAGCTGTGTAATTTATACCCCCATATAGAGAGAGAGGTTAGGTTAAAAACGGAAAAAAAAAAAAGAGATAAATAATGCAGAATAAAGGGGGGAGGGGGAAAATCTCCAGAACTAGTAGTAGTATTAGTAGTAACTAGTAGCACGCACCAACAAAGATACGCAAGAATCCCCGGAAAATAAGTGCAACAGTTAGTAATAGTAATAAAGATAGTTCCGTGCTACTTATTATACAGTCCGACGACGGCGTTTTGCAGTTTCTTGTAACGGGCAAGGGAAGTCACGATGAACGACGCGGAGGGAAAAAGCTGAAACTCGTCGTCGTGGACCGACCTTTTCTCAGTATTTATATACGGCAAAAAGAATGGGATATATATATATATACATATAATAAATACCAAAGCAGAGGAGATGAAAAGAAAACCAATTGCTGAATATTTGTCAGTGATTGTGAGGCGCCGGTGTTAGAAGACTACTCCATTAATTAATGACGTACAGTATCCGTGAGAGAGGCGTGGGGTGGTTAATGAGTGGGCTGGGGATTGGATTTCGGATTCTTGAATATGCATTTTCGAAAGGAGAAGGGACGTGGAAAGCGGATTAGGATTTTTGTTTCTTATGGCCAACTTTATCGTTAGTTTTCTTCTTAGGGGCTGCGGAGGGGAGGTGTCATTGTCGGCGTCCAATGACCGTCGCTGAGATCAAAGGTCAGGTGTCCTTTTTACTTGCTTTTTGCTCTGCTGTTTGCTTTGAGTCGTGCTGGAGATATGCTTTTATAATCTACCGCAATCTGCATCCTTTTGCGGTCGGCAGTATTACTGTGTGTTTAGGTATTCATCAGACAAATCCTGAACTTCTTTGATTGACCCCAAAAAAAAAAATGTAAACAAATCTCTTTGTTGTTTTTTTTTTTTTTTTCTATTCCCAATTTAGCTGATATTGAATACTTTCAAGCGATCCAGCAGTCCGCAGATCCCAAAAAAAAAAAAACTTCTGTACAACCATGATCCTAAATTGTCGTCTGTTACTTGATCATGATTCTAAAAAAAAAAAAAAAACCTTCTTTTTCTATGTTACTCGTTTGGATTAACTATATGTTTTTTGGAGCATTTTTGTAATATTTTACTGTAACAATATATGTGAAAAATTTTTTATTATAAATGAGATTTTTTTTTGTATTTTTGGGGGGGTTTTTTTTTTGTTTATGTATTACCGTGACATTATTGTATATGAAAAACTTGTCTTTCAAAAAATGATCAATCCGAATGGAGCGTTTTTTGTTGTATCAGTTGGAGATTTATAAATTTCTCGAAAGCGTGTATGTGACTTTCACACACCACGATTTTGATGTCTTGGGAAACAATTCAAAGTTTTTACATTGTTTGTTCACGTGCTTATCATAAAAATTAGAAAGGATACTAAACACATGTATCAACATCCAAGAAAACACGAGTGAAATAAGCCTTTGGAACGAAAAAATAGATCTGAGTTTTACTTTTTTTTGTTTATAGCCGTAAAAGGGCATACCAAATTTTTCATTCATTTCCACTTTTGAAATTTAGTACTGTTCATGCTCTGTCGTCATTTCACCAGATTCCCACTTTTGTTCCGTCAAGGAGACTTGATGTTGAACGATTCTAAATTCCATGATTAGTTCCCGTTGAAATGATCAAAGGAAATGCCAGGCGACAGCATATTCGAGATAAAAGTTGAAACTCATTTTACTTTCCAATTAAACTTTGAACGAATACTTTTTTCAGTCTCCTTTGGTCGCTAGCAACAGAACATCACTGCATTTGTGAAAATCCAAAGTCAAAACATGGGTATGGTCAATGCTGCGATGTGAAAAACATGTGGGTGAGGTTGGATGAACCAGTAACCGGGTCGACCGGCCAAGCGCCACAAATCAGGAGTGCAATTCATCAACCCTTTCTTGTTGAAGTTTTACTTTTACAAGCCCTTGAATTTATTGTTGTCTGCGTATGAAAATACAGTAGTAACTTCTTTCTTCTTCTTCTTGAAATTTTCCATAGCCATATTGTTTTAGAAAACAATATGGGACTCCTTTTCTTTAAGCACATTGAAAGAAAAGGACCAATTCATATAATGTCATCAATGATCTATTGATCTACTAAAAGCTGCATCTTTTTTTGAAAAGGAACCAACTCCTTGACTAATCAAACTACAAAGAACCTCCGAAAATTTGACTCAGGCAATGAGGACGACTAATTTGGACGGGCCCAAACTGCATTGTGAAATTTGTCCAGATTGTTTTCATGATTTGAAAACTGAGTATTCAGAAAAGCTTCATTTCCTTGGCACGCAAAAAGTGCTCGATAATGGAAGCATGCACCAAGCGACATCACATCAATCGGACAAGAAGTTCAAGCTTTGATGTGCAGACTGCAGACTTCAAACAGTTGGCCGAATGGAGTGGCCTGTAGCGTGCAAGAACTTTTTCTGCACTACTCTAGAAAGAGGTTTTGGATGCTTTGCTCCACCGATTGCGGGGAGGAAATATCTCACCAGAAAATCGTCCAATAGCATCAACATCATCTGATGAAGAGCTGACATTGTTTAGTCGTGTTCTCCTGGATGAAGCTTTCCCTTACCGAAGATGACAACTTAATTCTGTCTAACCCCCTTCGCAAACACAAATCGCCACATAACCTCTCTTGATACCAAAATCCGGAAATAGGACTGTACCATTTATTAGCAGAATCATAGATATAGAACATTCGAATCACCTTTTGCCATGTTTGAGCATGCCACATTCTGTGTTTCTCTACGCAACATCCTCCTCTCTGTATCTAGGGTTACTGCCATTTGCAAGGGTACCGACACTTGTCCCCGCAATGTATCCACCAGACCAGGCATTCTGAAAATTTTGATGAAATTCCTGTCAATATATCCTACCATTTGAAAATCTACAATGCTGTCATCACATCAGTCTACCCTACATCAGTTAAACAATCAATGAATGGCTCTCAATATATTTTTCAATTACCTGGAAATTGAAACCACCAGTAACGCCATCAACATTCAGTACCTACAGAAAGTTTCAACATCAATTCAGATGTAATAGCATAGTTTTCAGGTAATGTTCCAAGAGAGCAAAAGACAAACAAATCTACACCCATCAAGTAGACCTAGGAAGATACCTCCCCAGCAAAGAACAGATTGGACTGAATCCTGCTTTCCATTGTATTCAGGTAAATCTGCAAGAAGACATCAACGCATGAAATAGACCTAGGAAACTATCTTCCCAGCAAGGAATGGATGTGAACTCTGCGAATGACCAGACATGCTCAGCGACTTTTAGACAGAGCATATGACCAAAGGCCCAGAGGATCCCCATCACACAAATAAAAACAAAAAGAAAGGAGATGCAACATAGAGAGAGCACCTCAGACAACGGAACTCCTCCAGCCGTGACAAACTCGTCCTTAAATTGACCCTTCACAATAAGTAAATAATTCTTTTTAACTTCCACATTGACAAATTATTTGATGAAAAAATATATCTTTTAGGGGTAAGTGGCCGAAAGGTACCTTGCCTATGACATTAAAGGTACAGTGTTTTAAGAGAAAAGCAACTGATGTTAATGAGCCGCGAGAGATTGAAGACCAGAGGATATCTCCAGATAGACCCTGCGTAATTCACATACAAGAACAGAACTCTGTGACAATCAGATAATATTCACTCGCAGCTCAGAAGCCAAAAATTGATCTTTCAACAGCATCACAACTCAACCTTACGGTCTATTATATATTTCCAGAATCTTTTTGCCAGGCCAAATTCAGAAGGCCACGAACTGAGCAACTTTTGCTTCTGAAAAGAAACAAAAGGAAAAGAGGACAAAACTAACATACCAGCCATGCAGTAACTTGCCAAAAGTTGCAAAAATAATGCCTAAGATATTTACTTTTATCTTAACCGATGAAGCACATAAGAAATAGCAGATTAGTCACAATGTAGATTTCATATTCTTTTGGACTAAACATCAAACGTGATAGCAGTCAGAAATGGATACAACATTGTCTTAGCAAAAGACACAGGCTGAGATTATTAATCATTATAATGAAAAGAAAGTAAAAGAAAGAGTAGTGTGGGTCTGTGCAACAGTTGTAGGGTCAGAAAGATTATTACTGGGAATCGATTCTTGTGTTGATTGAGAACAGATTTTACATCTTCAGCATGAAGATCAGGAGCAAAATCTACTTCAAGGATGCCTGAACGGGTATGATACTTCACTAAACAGATGAAAATATTAAGATCTGAAACCGGTAACAGAAAATTAAGTATTTTAATACCTTTATAATTTGAAATGGAAAGATCACGGGCTCCCCATGCAGATAGGCGAAGAATCACTGGACCGCTAAGCCCCCAATGCGTTACCAACATTGGTCCAACCTAGAAATGCCAGTATTACTGATATGCTAGCTTGCAGATTCATTATCTACAAATAAAAATAACCGCAAGAGCTTGCCTGTGTAAGCGGTGGTACATTCTTCTGCATGGTATCTAGTTTCAATTTAGCTTTTGCCTTGGTGAATGTAACCTAAGCATGGAAAGTACAGAAAATAGATGCTTTATTTATAGAGATTTAAAAATAACATTATTGGAAAGCAGATAAATCTGCTATGAGCTTACATCAGTTCAAGACAGATTATGACAGTAACAAATTACTATTCCTCTGATACCATTGTCATGCAACACTCGGTGTAATACCCTTTCTTTCTCCAATTGCTTATTCACAATACTTCAAAAGTCTATCCTCTATGAGTCATACTTAATTTGCTTCAGGTAACAATCACTGAGCATGAACAACAAAGTTTTTATCTACTGACTCGCAATATGCCAAAAGTCACTAATTAGAGGGAGAAAAGAATTGAAGTATAAAAGCATGAGCAGATAATCACCCCAGACAACTCTGCTAGCTGGAAATCATCAATCTTGAAAGTGAATAGGCTTGGTACAGGTTCCACAATAGTGTGACCAAGCTGAGCAGCAAGACTATAACCCTGGACCATCATCACAGGTACTCGTCAACAAAAAAAAACTTGGGATTCCATGTGATGTAACACAACTGAATCAGCCAAAAGATTTGACCTGCCGGCTGCTTCCACTTGCAATTAGAAGATACTCAGCTTCCACATACTCTACAATATCAGCTGTCCGTTTCTCTACCCTGACAGTGAATTTCCCTCTGGCAATACTGGAAGCGCTTGTCACAACCTTTCCAGTCAGCAGTATAACTGTTAGAGAAACTCACATATCAGCTTGATGTGCTCGTAAAATGTAAGGTGAACATGGCACTCTCCAATAAGACTCTTAAGTTTAACTAAGACAACAATTCTGAGTTCTAAGATAACCACATCAATTCCTTTACAAACTGTCCTCACATGTTTTACATGGTAAAGTGTATATACATTCAGCTATCAAGTACAAGGTAAGTTCGTCCAAATCAAACAAAAAGTCATCAGAAATAGCTAAACAGAAGATATGAAAAACCAATAATTTTCTTCCCAAGCTTATCAATAAGATATATAAATTTTTATAATGCCAAATATTGTCAAAAATGAACTTCACTGTTGAGTCAACCTACCTCCTCTGCTCTTGGCTTCAGACAAGAGGCAATCAATTACAGAAGATGAACTGTTACTGACAGGAAAAACCCTTCCATCATCTTCAGTCTGAGGCATAATGGTCAAACTTAATAGTGAATACGAAGGATATATGCAAAAGGTAAAAGAAAAGCAGCTTAGCAGCTTGTGGTATTACCTTAAGCTCTACCCCATGATCAGAAAACCAAGTCATGGTGTCCATTGGGCTGTGCATCTTGAAAAAAGACCCTCGCAGTTCCTTGTGTCCCCTGGGGTAGTGTTCTGCCAAAATCTACTGGGTCCATGCACCATATATCAGTAACATTAATCTAAAGACCACAAACTTCAGTTAAATAGCTCTTAGCTCATTCAGAAGCACATAACAAAAAAAATTACCAGAGAATCTAAATTCCTATCGCGTTCATACTCTTGAAGATCACATGAAAGGGGTCATTACATGATGTCCACTCCAAAGTTTTGGGTTTGGTGAATTCATCACAATTTTTCCAATTCAGAAGTTAAAAGGGCCTAGGCTAACATCCTTACGTCAAAAAAAATATTTCCTCCAATAAACCCGTAGCACGGAACAATTTACTCCCAGCTAGACCAGTATGCATCACTCAATTAGCGTTATAAATGAAAAAACCTACCATATTGTCAACGCAATGACCGTTAGTCACATTGCAGCGACCACCTCCAGAAATCTTAACCTGCCAAGGCATTGGAGTCATCACTTAAAACTGGGTAATGCACTAATACATCCAAACCAACAAAAAAATTTCCAAATGGCAAAGAAACAAACAAAGAGTAAACCTTGGATAAAGCTTTTCCCTTTTCGACAACAACTACTTTAAGATTGGGGGCCAGAGTTTTCGCCCTGATTGCACCATATATTCCAGCAGCTCCACCTCCCACCACCACCATTAGCTCTTCACTTGACTGCAAAGACAAGAAGATCACATTTTTAAGGGAGAACGATGAAGAAAACCACATCTAATATTGGTTAAATTGCTGAAACTGAGTATGAATGTGTGGAAGCAGCACAAACCTTGGAAACTGATGAGATGGTAATTGCACAAAATCTTCTCGTCCGGGGCAAGAAAAGTAGATAACCTGTGTGATTGGTGCAAGTCAAACTACGGTAAAGGAGACCAGGAGCATGAAGAACCCGCGGGAAGGTTAGGCTCATGTTTCTTGGTCCTTGCTCTTCAAACCTCGAGATGGTCTTTGGGTGCTTCCCGGCGACTACCCCGTCGCTCACAAACTCAAGGTGGGGAACGAAGAGACAGGGAGCCAAAATATAGTTATATAATCCCCTGATACTTGTTACCAGTTTTTACCACCAGAAGAAAACTTCTGGATTGACAAGCTTGTCCTCACAGGGTCGGAATTTCTTCTACCTTCTGTGATTCACGGCAACTAGTATTTGACTCCAAAAAACCATTTGCCTTCGTCCAATGGCAAGGAAGAACCCCTTCAAAACTCTCCTATGTATTAAGTCGAATGTTCAAATGCTGTCTAATACACCACACAAAAAGCACAGTTCTTATACGGTGTCTCACCCCTCAGCCCTCGTACAAATCTTTTTAGACTCCTCCATACAGTTATTCTAATCTGATCTACGTTTCTCCCTTCAACCCTTAAACAAACCTCCTTAAACTCCCCAAATAAGTACCCTTTTTAGACCCCTGCATAAGGTAGTAGTAGGTTAAACATTTGCAAATTTAGACTCATCCATAAAATAACAATAGGTTAGATAGTTACAAAGTATATCTTGTTATCCACAAAATAACAATAGGTTAGATAGTTACAAAGTAAATTTGTTAGATTAGAAAGTTACAAAGTACATTTGTTCTTGTTTGGTCTGGTGTTTGGCCCCTCAACCCTCGTACAAGCCTTTTTAAACTCCTTCATAACATAGAAATAGGTTAGATAATTGTAAAGTACATCTTGATCTAATGTTTCACCCTTCAACTCTTATACAAACCTTTTTAGATTTCCTCAACAAGTAGCCTTTTTAAACTCATCCATAGAATATGAATAAGTTATATAGTTGTAAAGTATCATTTTCTTATCTGATTTGGTGTTTCACCCCTCAACCCCTCATACAAACCTTCTTAGATTTCCTCAACAAATACCTCTTATTCTTCTGGTATGGTGTTTCACCTATCAATCCTCATTCAAATCTCCTTAGATTCCTCCCAATAATAGGAATATGTTAGATAGTTGTCGTTACAAATAAAAAAAATATTTTACTCAAAAAAAAAAAATTATACAAGCTTTATTAAACTTCTCCACAGAATAAGATAGGTTAGATAATTGTCGTTGCAGACAAAAAAATATTTGACTTAAAACAAAGGGGACCGCAACTAGTAATCCTATTGCTTCATTGAAAAATTTTGCTACAGCTTTATTAAAGATGCTTTTGTTTAGTTTGATTGCGGCTCCAATTAAACCAACAATATAAGGCAAATAGGCACCCTATTATCCTAGTTGCGATTGGTATGCAATGTTTTTAAATTTGGACCGAAAAGTAAGCCAAAATACCTTATGATTCACGGTTTGATCGGTTCAAATTTGGTTTAAATGTTTAATATTTTTTATTTATTTTAGTAATAAAAATTTTGAGTAAAACTAAAACATTTATTTTTAAAAAATAAAAATTTAATAACAAATCAATTGAACCTCTCGATTTTTATCAGCTACACCAGTTCAACCGATTTTTAACCAACCTTGACCGATTCAATTGATTCTTTAAATTATTCATTGTACCAAATTGAAGACATTCGATTCGCGGTTCAATTGATCGAACCGACCAATCTAATCCAGTTTTTCAAAACACTATTGGTATGGACTAAAGGAGATATCAAGGAAGAAACGCAATTGAAGCTCTGCTTTGCTTATCCGTTGCTTGCCAATTTATACATTTGAACGTTGGTGTATATTGGTTTTGTTAAAGCTATGCAAGTGAATTTGTTCACTCAATATAACACTGTACTACACTAATTATCTTAATTTCATACAAACTTTTCTTGGAAACCATACTACACGGTAACATTTGAAAAGGGTAATATAAAGAAGCTTTTTTTTTTTTTTTTACAGGTAAGCCCCACAATTCAAGTTTTAAGAAAGATGACAAATTTGTACTATACTACTTTACTCTTAAACAGAAAAAAAAATAATAATAATAAGAGTTAATTATAAAAACTCTCCTAAATGTTTGGTCAAAATTATAGTTTACCCCCCAATATTTATTTCTTCTCACTTTTATTACCTTTTATTTTATCTAACTCATTAACTATTAAAATATTTGAGTTGAACAAAAACACTCTTGTGCATAGTTTATAAGAGAAAACTCTGGCAAGATTCTTTAGATGTTCAAATGACAATATATGCTTTTTACCATAGAATATTTGTTGTTTTTAAGTTTTGGATAAAATAAATGGAAATATTAGTATTCTTTTTCTGCATATAATTGTCATGCTTGTAATTATTTAAAGTGGGTAAACCCTAAACTTTGTAATAAAGGAATAGAAATATGTGCTATATGGCAATCAGGCAAAAGAAATATGTGATATGGTGTAAAATTTACTTCTTTTTTTTTTCCCACGACCCTTGATTCAATATAGCACATACTTCTGACTAATATTTTTCTCTAAATTTAGGATCTACTAACTTGACGTAATTACATGCATGGTGATTCTGTGAAAAAAAAATAGTAATATTGATTTTTCAATTTATTTTATCAAATAAATAATTATTCGATGAGAAAAATCAAACCGTATGATTTGAACATCTAAGAATATCGTGATGACCTTTCCTTATGAATAATGTAGAAAGGCATTTTTGCCAACTCAAATATTTTGATAGTTAACTTGATTAATTGGATTGAAATAGGGAGTAAAGTGAAAAGAAATGAATAAAAAGAGGTTAATTGCAACTTTAACCAAACTTTAAGAGAGAGTTTTTGAGATGAACACTTTTTTGACGGGTGGCAGCACTTGTGCCATGCTACTAAAGCACTTTTTTCCCCTAAAAAGCAACTTAAGCAAATTGTTTTAAAATCCCTTTTCATTCCAAAATTGCAATGAACTCCCAAGTTCTCAATTCCTGAAAATATTAATTAAAAAGAGCACAACCCCCCTATGGTTGTTAATTGAAAATAGTTAGTGCGGCATTTATATAAATTGTTTTTTTGGACAAAAGGTGTTTTAAGTATCAAATTAGAAATCTGGAAACCTGCTTTGTCCGGGTCCAAACAAAGAAAAGCGAATGAAAACCAAGAAGAATTTGTACCAAGCTTTTGGTATAATTTCGCGGAAAAAAGTAGTAACAGCTAGTGCCACCCTCACAGATGCCCACTCCGTCACGGTTGCACCTTCCAACATAGTATCCACGCACACACACACAGAGCGACACAGAGACCTCCCGTCCCCCGCCCCCCTCCCCAAAAAAAGAAAACAAAAACACCTCCTTTCAACTTGATTACGACGTTTCCCATGTGTATTTCTGCTTAAGTGACGATGATCTCCTTGTACCCTGACCTAATTACCCATCATCGTCCGCAAGCACACCCAGCTCCGATCTTCAGACCCCAATGCTAGGGTTTTACTAGGGGTTTTCCTTTATCTATTCATCTTTCGTTGTCCTTTAATTTTGCGGTTTTTGAAGTTGATGTTTTGCTCTTCAATTGCTAGGTGAATTATTAATAATTTATAGGTCCAAAATTCGGTGAATTATGGGGTATCTGGAAGGCGATTGGCACGACGTGATCGATGTGGATTCAGGGGATGATGATGATGACTTTTACGGTGGCGGCAACAGCGACACCCCCATGTCGTCCATGGACAGTGACGAAGACTGCGGGTTCAACTCTGATTCGGCACCGGATTACGACTTCATCAGTAACGACTCCGATGATCTCCTACACAGTCAGCAAAGCCAGAAGAATTATACCATCTTGAAGGAGGAAGACATACGATGTCGTCAAGAGGATGACATCACTAAAGTATCCACTGTTCTCTCTGTATCCAGAGAAGTAGCAAGCCTACTGCTACGCCGTTATAATTGGAGTGTGAGCACTGTGCACGAAGAGTGGTTCTCAGACGAAGAAGGGGTCCGCAAGGCTGTTGGCTTGTTGGAGAAGCCGATCGTTCAATTTTCAGCCGATGAGGAGGTAACCTGTGGGATTTGTTTTGATAGCTATTCGTTCTGTGAGATCAGAGCTGCTGCATGTGGCCATCCTTTCTGTCGTGCATGTTGGCAAGGGTATATAAATAACGCCATTAACGATGGCCCTGGTTGCGTGACTTTAAGGTGTCCTGACCCTTCTTGCAATGCAGCTGTAGGTCAAAACATGATTGATGATTTGGTTACCCGTGAATTTAAGGAGAAGTACCGCAGGTTCCTTGTTCGATCTTACATAGAGGATAATAGGAAAATTAAGTGGTGTCCTGGTCCAGAGTGTGAGTGTGCGGTTGAATTTGTGGTTGGGAGTGGCAACTATGATGTTACTTGCAATTGCTCGTACGGATTTTGTTGGAATTGTACTGAGGATGCCCATCGCCCCGTGGATTGTGAGACTGTGGCCAAGTGGATCTTGAAAAACAATGCAGAGTCCGAGAACACTAACTGGATTTTGGCTTACACCAAGCCTTGTCCAAAATGCAAGAGACCAATTGAGAAGAACCATGGCTGTATGCATATGACTTGCAGGTCGCCTTGTGGGTTTGAGTTCTGCTGGCTGTGTCTCGGTTCATGGAGAGAACATGGTAGGGGAACAGGTGGCTATGCTTGTAACGGTTTCAGCGTGACCAAGAAAGAAGGAGCAGTTGATGAGACTGAAAGGAGGAGGGAAATGGCCAGGAAATCTTTGGAGAGATATACACATTATTACGAGCGGTGGGCTGCCAACCAAAAGTCAAGGCTAAAAGCTTTAATAGATTTGCACCAAATGCAAACTAACCATCTTGTGAGGCTAAGTGAAATACAGTGCCAACCTGAGACGCAGTTGAAGTTCATTACTGATGCTTGGCTTCAGATAGTGGAATGTAGGAGAGTACTAAAGTGGACATATGCTTATGGATACTACCTACCCGAGAATGAGGACACCAAAAGGCGGTTTTTCGAGTACTTGCAAGGTGAGGCAGAGGTTGGCTTGGAAAGGCTTCATCAGTGTGCAGAGAAGGAATTGGAGACTTACCTCAAAGCAGAAAAACCTTCTGATGATTTCAATGATTTTCGTACAAAGTTAACAGGTTTGACGGCTGTGACAAGGAATTACTTTGAGAACTTGGTTAGAGCATTAGAGAATGGCCTCGCTGATGTGGATTCAGTAGGAACTTGTAGCAAGACAAGCTCAAAAGGTGCAGCTGGGAGCAGTAAACAGAAAGGGAATGGGAAGCGCAAGGAAGGGACAAAACATGACAGGTCGGGGAAGCAGAAGGTGCGAAATTCAGGCAGTTGAGAGTGCGTGAATGCTTTCTTCCAGATGTTGGTCCAATAACCATGTATGCAACTCTACTCTCATTGAAGTGGCCACTTCACTGGCCTTGTTAATCTTTAGGGTAGTGGGTTCCTGATGATAGACAAAGTTTGGAGATGTAAGGAATAAAAGTAGTTAAAAAAGAAAGAAACTGTCACATTTAGTATTGGCTCGTGTCCGTGTGGAGGAGAACTCTCCTAGGTTTCTGTTTCAGTAGATGGTTTTTTTAAGGTACTTTTGTCTTTGGTAGAACTTAAATCATATCAGTCTCTCTATTTATATATGTATTGCTAATTTGCTTATGTTGCTCTTATCGTTCGCTTGTGTATTAGACAGTTACAGAACAATGAACTTTTGCCCAGGAATTGAAAAGTGAAGTTCATGATACCCAGGTAAAGCCCTTCTTGATGAAAAAAAATACCATTACTCTGGTATTTACTTGTCATACTGTCATCCAGAATCTTCTTCATTTTTTTGTTTTTTGTTTTTGTGGGTGGTGTTTTTGTGTGTGTGGGTGTGGGGGTGGGGGGCCGGATTCAATCATTCCTTGGTGGTGAAAAAGAAATACCATTACTCTGGTATTTACTTGTCATACTGTCATCCTGAATCCTCTTCATTCTTTTTTTTCGTTTTCAATGATTCGCTCCATAGGGAAGAAGTTTGACGTAACAACAAATGAAGATTATTTGGTCAATCAACTATATTATTATTTGAGCTTCAGTTTCAAGTGCAATGTAAAAGCGTGTGTAGCCTGGATTGTCCTGCTGTAAGAGAGAATCTTACCTTTATGGCATGTTTGGGATCCAAAAATCAAGATATTCAAAATCTGATTGGTGAGTCATGACAAAAACAGCTTAACTAAATGCTGAATTAATCTGTCTATGAAGTCCGTGTAGACATCTATTAGCTTCCAATTGCAGCTTGAACAAGTTTTTTGACTGAAAACCAGAGGCTGTATGCATCAATTTGTCATTGCATATAAGCTAGATCTTCCATTTGCCACGACCGACCAATCGATAAATCAGTAGATACTAAATCTAGTATCGCACATATGTTGGCCAGACAGTGATGTGAAACATCTCCAGAAACAAATTCATTAACTTCTCCATCAATCTCTATTGCACTGCATCCTGGCGCTTTCTTCAGCCCACGGTCACCAATCATCCTCCTGAACCTTCGTGCATCCTCACATTTCTGTGCAGCCAGATATATATTTGATAACTGAACATAAGCACTACTTTCTTCTGCTTCATTTCCACCTTCCAACTGTAATAGCTCCTTAACAGCAAGCTCTGCAAGAATGACATTGTTGTTCATCCGACAGCCACTTAGAAAGGCACCCCATACAGAAGCCAGTGCTTTCATGGGCATGCTTCTGATAAGCTCAAGTGCCTCGCATAACTGACCTGCCCTGCATAACAAGTCCACGATGCAACTATAATGTTCATGCTCAGGTGGAACGCCATATAGAGTTTCCATGTTATTCAGCAAAAATTGACCTTCCCTAGGAAGCCCTGCATGTGTACAAGCAGCTAAAACCCCAAGAATGACGATCCCGTCAGGCTTAATCCCATCTTCCGCCTGCATCCTCTCCAAACAATCAATTGCTTTCCTAGCATATCCATGTGCCGCAAATCCTCCAATCATTGATGCCCAGGAAAACTTATTTCTTTTAGGGATGCTCTCGAAAACTTCCACAGCCATGTCAATGCACCCACACTTGGCGTACATGTCAACGAGTTGAGTTCCAATGAAAGTATCAGATCCCATCAAATTCCTCCTCCTAATATACTCATGAATCCATTTGCCCTGTTCTAAAGCCCCTAATTTTGCACAAGCAGTGAGCCCAGTGGTCAGACAAAACTCATCAGGCTCGACTCCGCGCAACAGCATTCCGCGAAATACATCCAAGGCCTCCGAAGCCATTCCACATTTAACATAACCACTAATGAGCACGTTGCACTGAACAACATCTGAGTCAGTAATTTCACCAAACAGCTGGCGAGCAGCAACCAACGATTTAGACGCCGCATAAAAGCGGATCAACGCCGTTTGCACATGCGGATTTGCGGATGCCAGGCCATTTTTCGTTACCCAACAGTGCAATTGCTCTCCCTCGGAAGTAAAACAACCGTTAGAACAAGCGATTAGAACGAAGGGGAACGTGTAGCCATCGGGAGGTAGAAGACTGCGTAACATGAGATTGAAGCACCGAAGGGCCAAGTGGGGTTGAGGAGAAGTAGAATAGGCCTTAATTAGAGTGTTGTAAAGATAGCAGCTGGGGCTAGGGAGCTGGGTGAAGAGGAGGGAGGCGTAGGAGAGGTCACCGCAGTCGGCGAGCGCACAAAAGTCGAGGAGCTTGCTGACGGCATAATTGTTGCGGTGGAGGCCGTGGGTGATGAAGATGCTGTGAATGGCTTTGAGTTCCTGCATGCTGGTACATCGTCCAATGATATACATGCACCATTTCCAGGCTCGAATGCTGCGCTGGGTACTGGTGGTATAAATTGTTCTGCAGTGGCGATGTGCGTTTATCAGATGGTTCATCCGATTTCGAATACAGAAAGTTGTGGAGTATCATTAACAAGGCCGGATTTGGAAGGCTGATTCTTCTTTTTTCTCTCTTTTCAGAAACTCTCTGATGAGCCGGGATGAGTTGGGTTTCTTAGGTGGCCAAAACCGTCATCATGTTTCGAAGCGTCGTTCATGATCGACTCCCAGCCAATTACTAGTAATTAAATGGCTGGTTCCATATTAAGATAATTTAGATTCCTTCCTCAAAGAGGGAAGGAAGAACAAAAACCAGGAAAAAAAAAAAAGGAAAAATTTCCACTGGATTGAAAAGTAGAACATCAATCAAACTGCGGTTGTGGTCCAGAAATTGCGATGTTTTTGCATTCTTTTTTCTTTCTCAACCAATTTGATGGAGAATAAGTGCGTACTGCTAGTTCATAATTTACATAAATCAACTCTCATTCCTCCTACGAGATGCTTAAACATGTCCTTCCAACCAGAAGCTAGTAGTTAAAATCGTTATCCATCAAAAGCAAATCTGGGTGTTCAAAAAATCTTTTTAGTTCCTGAAAACTCCAGCTAGCAGTCCCAAAGATAAGGTGTCACCGGGCTCCTGCTACAACTTCAGCTTTAAATGAATGTTCCTCCGTCTTTCTCTTAGATCATGCTTTCAAGATGCTTCCCATCATCGTCCTTAAATCGAGGTAGGAATCGCCAGAAAATGTCTTTGCCACAGTCAAGAGAGCTCAACTAACATGCGAAACAGAAACAAGCCAAAAAAAAAAAAACCCACCTGTAAGTGCAAAAGCATACAGCACAAATACTGGTGATCTTGCAGAATGATACTAACAACAAATTCTCAATTCTCAAAGATGATGACCAGATTTTATCTTCAGCTCCAGTCTACTCATATGCCATCTTTTTCCTGGCTCTTTTTTCTTTTTTTCAATTCTTGTTTTATCCAACGAAATTGAAGGACAAAAGAGCCAAAATTTTCCTGACATCTTCCTAAGCTTAAAGGTTTAATCTTTGCCACAGGAAACTACTTCCTTTTAACTAGATGATGCTACGACCAGCTAGAGGCAGAAGCCAACAGAGATAAAACCTCCCACGAGTTGCTATCTGGTTAGGAGTACATTAGGAGTTGGTAAAATTTTCTGGGGATGAGATGCATCTTCCAGCTGTATGCTGCAACTGCAGGAATAACATTTCTCCAATGAAACAAGGCATCTCTCTCTCTCTCTCTAAATGCTCAGTTTGATGACTTTGTTACGAGTATTCAACTTTCTAAACCACCAATTTAACTATTCAAGTTTGATAACTCTGCAGAATTTGCAATGAATCTGGCACAGAAGGTTAAACATTAACCCAAACCAGCAAGAGGGAGTGGAGTAGAGGCAAACCTCTGGAGGTCGAAGGAACTACAACAACGTGCATAGTTGCATTGTTGGGAGGAAGACCCAGCCGGAGAGGATAAAGTTTCCCGTTTATTTTGTTTTTTGAGCACACTGTAATGTTTGTAAGCTCTGTTTCTTCCTCCAACTTCTGAGTCAATTCCTCCACGTTTTGCCCTTTAAAATTGAAGGAGTGGCCTTCTATCCCATCATCGACATTCCCATCATCATCAGCCACATGATAATGTATTACTCGGCCTTCATACTTCACTGGTGAACCACCAAACGAATCGCATGACTGCGCATGCGTACAAAGAATCCTCCGTTACGATTTACTAATCACATGACATGTAAATAATAAAGAGATCAGAAGTAAACAAGGAGAGGTAAACGATCGAACCTCATGTTGAGATGGGGTTCTAAGCTGAAAGGAAGAAGAGCTCAAGTCTTCGTCCAATGATTCAGATCGTTCGACTTTCTTGGGTGACGGAGGCCGTATCTCAATAGTATCAACTTCCCACAAAATCCAATCTTGATGTATATGTGGGATGTCATGAGTGACTGAATTTCGCCAGGGTGGTAATCCCCCATTCGCACGTAAATAATTCCCATATCGTGTTTTGAGCCTTACTTGAAATCCTTCCCTAATAGGCTCCCATTCAACCTTCGAGTCCAACTTTCTGGGCAAACTTTGAACAACTTTTTGGCCCGTCATGCCAAGAAGGAATTGATCATCTATTGCTGTTAGGTACTTGCCACAACAGCTTTTCAAACGTACGAGATTGTCAACTCCCTCAACAAGCTCGACTGTCCATTTTGCGTGCTTGGATGTGCCAGAACGATCTTGGATCACAGTTTCCTCATCGCGTTCCGCTATCAAATACTTCTGGTGATGGCTCCTCAGCCTAACAGATTTAGCTTTCCTGAAGAATTCCATTCCGGGACTCTGCAATCAATAAAAATGAAAGGACATGACTACAATTAGCGTTACAGAAACAAACTACGAGATGATCTCCCGATCTGGAGCGGCACCTGGACCAAGGAAACTATAGATTGTCGTGATCCAGAGTCTGGACAAAGATCTGTACGTAGGATCTATTCCAAATAGACAAATCAGCAGATGGATTTGGCGTTGATCACCTTTTCGGGCTTGAAACGTGGATCAATGGTTAAGATTATACTGTCGGAGGTCGTTATCAGTTGGCTTGATACTTTTTCCAGAACTGAGTTTCAGACTCAGTGGGTGGATGGGATGGCCCAAGACTCCCACTCGAATGGCCATACAAAAAAGAATGCTAGTCGTGTATTTGAGCAAAATATTACTACATACATCCGGTTTTTCGTATTTAGGCAAACCAACCGAGCATTTCTTCTTTTTAGTCTCCCGTAAAAACCACCCCCGGAAGAAACCAAAACACCACCATTCCCCTCTCCCTTCCCAAAAAATCGTGACCCAAGTGACTACAATCATTTTTACTCTACTCGTATAACTAGATGCAGATTGACTATATATACTTGGTTACAAGATAAATCTTTGAATGGTTTGAAGAAATCGAAGTTGGAATAAATATTGGCCTATTTTTGACAAACAAATTTTTTGGCGAGTGAAATTTTAGATAAATATACAAAAAAATTCACGAGGCCAACACGAATATACACATTTAAAAGTAATCACCTATAAAAAGATTTAAAAATTTTTGTTGTCTCTAGATTGATCATTACACCAACCTCATATGGGTCAATATTTCAATATATTCATAACTGTTTCATGTATGAGTTGCAGTTATTCTAAGAAAAAATTTGGCTTATTTTACATTTACGAAAAATCTTTTAAGACATTCCTCAAATTTTGCTAAATAAATTATTTCGCCTTTTACTTTTGATCATTTTTTGGGTATAAAAAGTTCATATCTTATTTGTTTAGAGGCCCAAAAAATCATTTTTTGCAATGTGCTACCAATCTCATTTGATTTGAAAAAATTATATGCTTTAGGAGCATGTGAAAAAAAATCTAATAATATTTATGCAAAAGAATTTTCAATAAGTAATACTAAAAAGTACCAAAATTTGGGACTTTTTTTTCTAGTATTTAGCCACTAATTTTGTCCCAAAAAAAAAAAGAAGAAGAATTATGACATAGCAACCTACAGATAGGAGTGCGGTATTTTCTTTAAAGAAGACAAAGTAAGGTCTTTATTCATGAGAAGAAGGGAATTATTAGGACAAGAGTAATTTTGTATAAAGGTTATAACTAGTAGAAATGGGGGCAATTTTGAAAAGTTAGTAATTTGTAACGGTCGAATATAAATTTTGTCAAACAGAAGGGAGCAAAGTACTCAAAATTAATGTTTTGGGCTTGTGGAGGGTTACTTTTTTTTTTTTGTCGAAGTCAGCAGACTTTTGACGACGTTTTACTAACCTTAACCCCGTGAGAACCCTCAAAAGCCAGCAACTTTTGAAAGTCTGACAGGAGACTAATATACTAACCACCCAAACCCCCCCAACCCCGATGTGGGACTTCAACCTCCACAAGAGAGCCTGCCAGACCTAAAGAGACCCCTTACCCCCCCGTGTTGAGGCTGATATGTCTTGTTTTGTCGAAGTCAGCAGACTTTTGACGACGTTTTACTAACCTTAACCCCGTGAGAACCCTCAAAAGCCGGCAACTTTTGAAGGTCTCACAGGAGACTAATATACTAACCACCCAAACTCCCCAACCTCGATGTGGGACTTCAACCTCCACAAGGGAGCCTTGTGGAGGGTTACTAAACTCTTCGAATATGTAAATCTGCTCATCCAGCTCTTAAGATAAAAATTAAAACTTAACAGTATACAAATATGCCAATTGACTCAATTCAGCACCTTTAAGGCTGAATGAATCTGCTCAATCTTACCAGCAACAATGGCTTAAAGGATCAGATTGGGGTTTAATTGGTATCTTTCCCAGTTAATGATTACTTACTTGTAAATATACTCTCATAGCTCTTATTTACAAGGGGAAAAAAAAAAAAAAAAAAAAGAGGAAAGGGTCAGATCAACATTCTTTAAATTCTAGAAATAACAGAGGAACACACGTCTAATATTTTATTTTGAGTGCCCATTTCATGCAATATTATCTTTCTGGAGGATCCAATTGAAAATGCCTTAATTTGCTAGTGCATGTTTTAAAGGGCTTGGGGAATTATACTTTTCTCACAATGCTTCGCTATTTTGTGCTCACCAAAACAATTTTATTCTGATTGCCTGGTACAGGTTTGAGATGTGGATCATATCAACTAACTAAAGGAAACAAAAATGCCTGGGACTGTTGAATTGCTAAGGAAATGAAAGCAAATGAGGAGAGCATACCGGTTTTACAGACGCATTTCCATTCTCTGCTTGCTTGATGAAGGCGCTTCCATTCATCCTGGATAAGTAGGCCACTGGTGAATCCCTGTCAGGCGAAGGCGAATAACCATCTTGGAGTGAAGAAAAGGTTGATGAAGCTGATAAACTACTCGAGAGCGACGCTGTATCCGACAAAGTAATGTCCACAATATCCACGCCCCACAAAACCCAATCTTGAGTAGCTGTTCTATGAGGAATGTCGTGAGTAACAGAGTTTCTCCAGGGCGGGGGACCTCCATTCCCCCTCAAGAATTTCCCTTCACTAGTTCTCAGTTTCACGTATAATCCTTCCTTTATAGGCTCCCACTCAATAGAGGAGTTCATTTTCTTAGCCGGAAGAGTTTGACGTACCTTTCTCCCAGTCGCACCAAGGAGGAATGCCTCTTCTGTGGCCGTAAGGTACAGACCGTGGCAGCTCTTTAGACGAATTACATTGCTTTTTCCTTCCACATATTCGACCGTCCAACGCGCCTTGCTTGAAGAGCCATTTCGGCTTTGCCTGACTGTTTCTTCATCATCATCCGCCACCAAGTACTTTCCAAGATGGCTCTGAAGTCTGACCGCTTTAGCCTTGTCAAAGAACCCCATTCCGCCCTACTTCACAAAAAGTATGGTTTACAGTCGAGTTCGCATTTACAAGTCACGAAAATGAGAGCGAAGAGATTCCAATGAATTTTGGCAATGTTTTGTCAGCTAAAAATTGCTATCTCAAAGTGCCCAGATGGAATTTATTTGTTTAATTGGGAACAAGGCCCTTAAGTAACATAATTGATGTACAGCGCAATCCAACATACAGATCTGCACACTCATTTACCGATAATAGATACACAAACTCGTAGTATGTAAACTGTAACAATTAACAAGGTGCATTCTTCAGTCTACAATCAATTTTAACTATAGTTAATTTTTTTTAAAGTCGCCTGAAACGGAAGGTAATGTTTTCGTACTGGAAAGGAGTGTGGGAGTACCTGTCTGCAACTTGCGAATCCAGAAGTATTTGATGCAACTGATGGCCAATGGGTGTCGGAGGAGATTGCCGCTTGATAATTTGGAGAGACTGCAGCACTGGAGGGCACTGACGGAGTGAATGAATCGGAAAATTCATCCGGTGACCAAGCAAAACTGGATAAAGGCGATGATTCGCAACTCTGTAAATGCTCAAACTCCACAATAGAGATCTCCACCACATCCACTTCCCACAAAACCCAGTCTTGTGTTGCAGTTCTATGGGGGATATCATGAGTTATGGTGTTCCTGAAAGGAGGTGCTGCACCATTTGCCCTCAAGAACTTCCCTGATTTTGTTCTTAGCTTTACTTTATACCCTTCTTTTATGGGCTCCCACTCGATACAAGGATCTTTCTTCGACTCCGGAATTCCTTGTATCACCTTTTTACCTGTCACCCCAAGAAGTAAAGGCTCGTCAGAAGCTGTCAGGTATCCCCCAAAGCAGCTCTGTAGTCGAATGAGGTGAGGATTTCCTTCCACCAATTCGACCGCCCAGCGAGCCTTTTTCGAGGAGCCATTGCGGCTCTGCCGGACAGTTTGTTCGTCATCATCGGCCAACAGGTACTTGTCCAAGTGACTCTTAAGTCTAACAGCTTTGGCATTGTTGAAAAACTCCATTATGGGTATCAGATTCTGAAAAATGAGATTTGTAACTTGCTCGTTAGATTTTCTTTTTTTCAATTTGGCAATTTGGCCTTGTTAAATTTAAAAGGGTTGGCGCGACAAGTCAACCACATGAACGGGGTAGACTTAGAAGTTTCTGTGAAGCCAATCAGTAGTTGCTTACAAAATATTGAAGTTGAATGTTACTATTGACTTTGAATTAGCAAGTTGGCACAAACAATTCATATTATTTCTAGGTGGCATCACTTTCCATATACTTCCGTGGCACGGCTAGGCTGGCGAGTTGACGAGGGTTGGTCGTTGAATTGAAATCTGATTGAAAGTATTTATGCTTTCATTTTTTTGCTATTCCAAAATATTTATCATGTTTGATACTTTTAACTATTTTATACTCTAATATTTTTCTTATGCCCTTCATTAATGATGCATAAAAACAATTAGACAAATATGATGGAATTGGTTTCTAATTCTTACTTTGATCAGTACATGATTATGGACAAAAGTGAAACAAAGGAAAAAAATTTTTGGTGGAATGTACTATGTATAAACATCACATATTTTTAAGCATGACTAAATATATGGGACGGAGAAAATGGTACTGGAAGATCAGATCGACTTGATGGAAGTGAATAGTAATCGTTTCGTAACGTGGAGACGGAGTGCATTTTTTTGGGTTATTACATCAACAAAATGAACAGAAAAGATCGAGCCGGTGAGAATGATCTCCATTCCCAACTTCGTAGCTCTCCTCAATTGCAGTTGGATTTGCATGGCGTTTTGAGGTTGCAGAAAATCTTGGATCAATGAAAGAGACGTCGTTCAAAGATGTGAAGCATCGCCAATTTTGAATTTTGGGACATGGGGTGCACAGAATCGGTTAATAAAATGGTGCTAGTGGATTGCATTCTCCTGTGATTTGACGGAGTCTACGCTCTCCAAAATGTCCAATTCCCATAGAATTTTGTCTTCCGTATGTGTTCTACAGGGTACGTCATGTCCAACCCTGTTTCTATAAGGCGGCAAACCTCCATAGGGACGCAAGAATTGTCCATAATGTGTTTTGAATCTCAACTCAGATCCCTGTCTTTCGACCTGCCATTCAATTGCGGAAGTCAATCGCGTCGGGAGAGTCTGAAGAACCTTGTGCCCCTTCGTCCTGGGAACAATGGGCTCATTTGTGGCAGTCAGGTACTTCCCGTAGCAGCTTTTGAGGCGAACACCATCATTGCCATCAACAAACTCAACCCTCCAACGTGCCTGTTTCATCGAACCGTCGCGGTCTTGGCGCACGGATTCTTCATCGTCGCCAGCTATTAGATACTTCCCTTTATGCGTTCGAAGACGGATGATTTTCGCCCCTGCTAAAAGCTCCATTGCTAAGCCTATGCCTGCGATTCGATTAAAAAGGATCTTCTGCAACACAAAATTCTGGTTATCGTTTAAAGATGCGTGAAAACCAAAATTCTGGCATATCCCTATCGGCTAGACGAATATCATCAGTCAAGAAGAATGTATCAATTTCTATGCGGGCGGGGATTGATGATATTGCAATGGTGGACGATTGCAAGAAAAGCCTGCTACGATGCGCATATATTTGCAAATACATGAAACATGATGAGGAGGAGAGAGTTGCGAAAAGCAGGGGTTGTCATCTCATCCGGTGGAAGCCGCTTAATTTTTTGCAAGCCTCCACATGTAAATCACAACAGAAGGAGTTTTTTTTTTTTCCCCTTGTAAGCAAATTTTAAGGGACTCTGGTCCTACAAACCTGTGACATCTCTAGTTCTGACTGCTGTTTATCTGATGTTTTCTAGTTTAAGAAGCGTTGAAGAACACCCACTCAATAGACTGATATTGTCTCCCAAAATTGATAATGGTCCAAATGAATATTTGCATTGCCTAATCACCCGACCTCCTTCCAGTCCATTGCCACAGACTTTACCCTCTCTTTTCATAATTCTCCATTTACATTCTCGCCCTATCTACTGCTCCGGTTTACATATACTCAACTGTAGATAGCAGTAACATGACTGTAAAAGGTGGCACAAGCCCAGCCTGTGCTGCATGCAAATACCAAAGGAGAAAGTGCACATCGGACTGCATATTGTCCTGCCAATCAACACAACGCTTTCCAAAATGCACATCGGCTTTTTGGGGTGTCCAAAATTGTCAAGATGCTAGAGCAATTAAACACTCTTGAAACAAAAAGGAAGAGGCCATCAAATACGAGTCAGGCATGCGTGGAAGATACCCTGTTCATGGCTGTGCTGGGATCATCTGCCAACTTCGTCCACAATTACGACTAGCTTCACTATGTGTATTCACAGCTGGCTGTCCATGGCCAAAAATTTTCCAATAATAGACAATTGTCCTATTCCTCCGAGTGTTCTGCGCAGCCACGGTTAGACTTGAGCATCCACAACTGTATTACTGATGCTCTGCTGTTTTCTCAACATCATTCTGATGGCGATGATGCTGTTCGTCATCTCGACTCTACTGATCAATTGACAAAATCTTTACTGGGTTTGGAACCTATTTATATCCCCAGAGACCCTTCTTGTGATATGATGACAAGTAACAATTCAGTGGGAAATCTACCTCAAGTTGTTGCCAATTCAGATCACACGCTTTTGGGATTCAACCAGAGGTGAATGTTTTTTCAGGATTATGAAGACATGCCCTTCGAGGCAATGGTGGACGACAGACGATCATATGTGGAAACTAAGGACGCCTGTTACTCCGGGTACATAAAAATTACACATACAATACTATATGACATAAGTAATACTTCCTAACCACTTGCAATTTCTCCTGCTAAATACTCATTTCCCAAAACTTCAATTGCTGTCCAGATCGGAATCATCATTTAGGGATTTCTCATAACCGGTAGAGCAGGTGGCAGAGAGCAATCCAAGGAATGCTGCCGCATGCTTCAGCCTTACCAACTAGAATGGGAAGTAGACTATTTGATTCAAAGTTCAGACTTCTCTTCTTCTACCATTCCTAGAATTCTTTGAAGCTTACATTTGTAAAAATATTGTGTGTTTCTATTGCCTATGTATGATACTGATGGAAATGGAAAAAACAATTGAATTTCAAATGTTTTATCAATGAAAAAGAGCTGTGAATATTTGTAATGCTATAAAATGTCCTTCCATTATTTCTTAATAATTGCACTAATGTCTGCTACTGCAAACTATTGCATCAGAAGTTCCCATCAGGAGTAAAAAATTGCATAGGGAAGCAAAGAGTTCCTTCCCTCCACCAAAGACCAAATGCAAAGCAAAATCCATCCCACTGCATAACTAAATAGACCAAATGCATGGCAAAAAATGAAGACTTCCAATGGCTGCACAAAACCATTCTTTCACTAGAACACATTAATACCTAGGAAAATATTTATGAGGTGGCATGTTTACCTAAAACTTTATGTATATATTATGGTTTGTGATGCAAGGAAGTAACCAAAGAAGGATCTGACAGATGATATGTACAGGTAAATGGATTAAGATGTAGTAGCTTACAACAGGTTAAGTAACTCTCCCTTTAAGGATTGACAAGTACAACTGGATGCAAGGATCACGACCTAAGAATTCCCCTCTCACTTAACAGCCTCATGATTCGTGACGCATCATTTAATCTGCCAGCTCTTTCGTATATGCTGGACACAACCAGATGCAACTCTTTCTTGTTAATGTTCAGATTAGAGTCCAGTTTCTGAAACAGGGATTCAACCATTTCAAAATCTTTTTTTCCACCATAAAGACTTAGCATCTGAAAGTGAACTTCATCAGAAAAAACACATTGCTCTTCCTGCATTTCCCTGTATAGAGAATCAGCCTTCTCAAACTCCTGCAACTTGCCATAAGCATTCAGGACCAAAGAGATCATATTAGAATCAGGAAAATATCCAGCTATTCTCATCCTCTCAAACACCTCAATTACATTTGCGTGTCTTCTGTTTCTGGAGAATAGATTTATCATGCAGTCAAAAACTGCTATGTCTTTAATTTCTCCAGCATCAAATGCCTGCCGGAAAGCCCATGTGGCCTCCTCTATTCGTCCAGCTCGAGCAAGAATAGTGATTGCTGTTTCCCTAGGAATATTATCAGGGCATTTCAGCTCATGTAGCAAGCGTTTGGCATGACCAACCAAGCCAGCTCGTTCATATGCAACAATCATTGTCTGGTAAAGAACCTGATCAATCTCAATCCCAGAGCTTCGCAGCTTCTGAAATAGCATTGCCGCTCGATCCAATTTCCCTACCTTGCCCCATATTGATATAATGGTCGAATAACTAATGGCATTAGGCTGGATCCCTCTCCTCTGCATCTCTTGAATAAGATTATTTGCTTTCTCATGCTCCAGTGTCTTCCCATAAATCTTAATCATGGTGTTGTATGTGACAACATTCTGTTCAATGTCCTTCCTCTGCATCAGCCTAAACAAATGTATTGCTTCCCCAAAAAGCTCAGCCTCCCCATAGACCTTCAAAAGTGTATTGTAACTAACAACATTCTGTTCAATCCCCAGCTTCCTCATGCTCCAAAACAGCCTGTCTGCCTCCTTGGCCATATCAAGCTGCCCATACACATCAATCATGATGTTGCAAGTTGTAAGATCAAGTGGGCACTTAACCTCATTCATCTCAGAAAATACGGAGATTGCCTCCACAAACTTCTGGTTGTCAACATACATACTCAAAAGCGTAGAATAACTTACCGTGTCAGGAACAACACCAACTGACTTCATCTCGGTAATCAACAACCTTGCTTCGCGGAAAAGCTTAGCTTTTCCAAACACATTGATCATGGAATTATATGCAACAAGATCAGGCGTAATTCCTGAACTCTTCAATTTTGAAAAAATAGAAATGGCCTTGGAGTAGTCACATAATTTACGCGATAACTCAATCAAATTACTATACAGAACCAGATCACCGGACACCCGATCATTTTCCATCTTCTGAAGCCAGGATAAAGCATCATCAAAAAGACCCTCCTTTCCAAAATGGGTAATGAGAGTGGAGTACGTGTACCTATCGGGTGAGAGAGCTCTCTGACGCATTTCGTCGAACAGCCCGTATGCTAGCTGCCACTGCTTAGCCCGCAGTACGTTACGGAGCACGACGTTGTAGGCAAAGACGGAGGGAGTGTAGAGGGCCTCCTCGTTGATCCAGTCGAGCAAAGCAAGGGAGCGTTGCCAGTCCGACTCACGCGAGAGGAGCGTCACCATGAACCTTATGGACAGGCTTCGGTCTCTGTAGGGTGACATTAAAGCGTACAATTCATGCTCATTTTTAGTCTGGCCAATGGATGATAAGAGCTCGTCCATGTTGATACTGCGGTCCAAGTAGGAGCTGTCGTTTTGCTTTCGGTGGTAAGTTTGGCGGGGGAAGTCGGACGAGGACGGCGTCGTTTCATTGGGCAATGATGGCTGTCTCCGCCAGATATCTTTCCTTGATGAAGCAAAGGAAATGGCGTGGAGTTTGAAGGTAGTTCTACGAGTCTCGGGCAGCAATGGTACATGGACGGTGACGATCGATTGGTTGAAAGGAAAAGATGATGGTGGTGGTGGGATGGACTGATGCACATGCATGGAATTCGCACTTTGCAGAGGACAAATTTGAGGCGGGAGATGATTTCAATTGGTACTCACGTTTTATCCCTTTGGGATTTTTTTTTATTTTTTATTTTTCTTGCCTGTAGAACTCTCTTATTCCTTTCTTTCTTTTCACTTTTTCCCCATCTCATCACATGACCCGGAGAGCGAAAGAAGGGAAGACATGTACCTCAATAAAAGTAGTGGAAGTCGAACCTTGACAGGTTACCTTAAAAAGTGACCCAGACCATTTAAATTAGTTCTTTTTTTTTTTACCAAAGCACAACGACTTTTTTGGCATAGAACACTAACCCAAATCCCGTGAGAACCCGGTATCTCTTGAGGTTTAAATTAGTTCTCACTTTTACTCTTTTTGAAGTTTTTTCTTTTTAGCCTCCCACCTCTTTTCACTTGCTTCCTATCCCCAACTGCCAAGAACAGATTTATAAGTTTTGCTTTATTTTTCTGTCTACAAGAGCAAATTCAACTTGCATTTGTACTGGATCAAGAATGAGAATAAGTAACTGCGGTGAAAATAGTGGTGCTAACAAGTTTAATATGGGTGAACGATCTTTTTTTTTTTTATTCGAAAACGACAACTGTAATATATTCTAATCTATCCTACATTAGAGGAGGGGGTGGACCTAAGAAGATTTAAAAGTAATTTGGAGGGAACTGAACTATCACCGGACCAAACGAGTGCACTACGTACCTACCTGAATTTTTTGAAACAAATTCATATTTTTAACGTGACAGTTGGTGGGAGGCAAGGGTTTGCAGCCTTAAATGGCTTGATGGTGGGCTGGTGGTTACTATGGGTGAACGATCTGAATTGGGTGTTTGTAGGATCTAAATCTCCTTTAAATAGTGTAGGATGGATAGGATCTCACGTAGGGTTGTTCACCCCCTCACACTTCAAATAGCACAATTTTACCTCAATTAGCTGTACAACTATATTAAACGCTGCATTATTTATTGCTCTATATGTGAATTGGAAACTTGAAAATCTATTAATATGATCATCTTTTACATTTTTTGGTTGGATCTTAAAATAGAAATGGTTTGTCTAAATACAGAAGGAAGAGGTATTTATTGATTTTGTTGGTAGGGAGAAACCTTTGGGTTTGGTGTCCCGGGTCCACTTGATAGGTGATCATCCAACACACTAATTACGGTATAGAATGAAGTTTAAAAAAAAAAAAATTTTCTGATATCTCCCACTGTGAAATAGCTGAATTACCCTTACAATGTATAAGGTATTTGGCATGTATGTGGACTTAATCAATTAGCCTATTAGTAAATCAAATTAATAGAAATATAACACAATTTAAAACTAAAAAAAAATTCTAGCTTGGCACGAGAAAAAGGGCCCCTAGGAAAAGGTAGCTAATTCTGGGGGACTAGTGGGTATACAAAGCCAACTAGATCAAAGGAGTGTTATGGCACAATCTTTAGATTTTTTTCGTTGCTGGTGAGGTTTGAACCCTGACTAACAGCCTCCCTTCTTGGTGGCCACTGAGCCAATGGTCCAGTGGTTTAGATTAAACTTGAGAAATAGAAAGACATTTTTTGAAGAGTAGCTTGACCTCGAGCGATTGTGTTACTAAGAGTGTGAGTGTGTGTCAAATAGAGGAAAATTGCTCTCTAATTCTTGTCTACAATATGTTGATTATGAGCATCTTACTCAAGGTGAGAGGAAAGATTTTTCTTTGATATTCAAGTTTGGAATTATTGCTACTTAATTGCATATAACTTAATTTTTTTGTTGACGATGCCAAATAATAGCCATGAAAGTGAAAATAATAGGTCCAATTATTTGAGATAATTACTGTAGCACCCTTTGTGATGTGATATATGTGAGATAAAAAGACGGTTGAGAAGGTAAAAAGGTGATTGAAATTTGTGAAGTAAATTTTGTTGGTGACATACTAGTAGTGCATCTCTCGACTCGTCCAGAGGTCCTATTCTGATTTATTTCTTCCGTAACCCATACTCCACGGCAAAACACACACTTTTTTTTTTTTCTTCTCTTCAAAGAAAGGAAGGCGGTGTAATTGTATTGCCTAGTTATTATTTATTTCATTTAAGTATCTACTAAACTCGCATCGGTCGTCAATCACGCAATTCACCTCCAACTTTGGTAGGCGGCCCATAAATCAACTGCCATGGTGAACATGATGAATGCGAGCCACATCCATCCTTCTCTGACTCCCAACTATTAGTAACATTTAATTTAACAGCTCCTCCACCGTCAAATCAATGTCCATTCAATCTTCATAATTACGCTCAACCGCCATCAATGTACTACTAAGCATCTCCATCACCTCTCCACCCATTTGATCATGAATTCTTGCGTTTGATTTGAAGAAAAAAAAAAAAGAAAGGCCATCAAATTATGGACTAAATCCACATTAATTAATAAAAAAGTTTAGTGACAAAATTGGTCATTTTCCCCGCAGCAGCATACGAAACCCTGCACATCCTTTTACTTTTCGCCAAAATTCACAAACACTCCCAGTTATAACTTACCATTTACTGACCAATGAATAAAGCATGTGTTAATAGGAGATTGGTTGAATGCAACTTCGTCGGAGTGGCCTGGAACGCGGTGAAATGAAGGAAATCTTCTATTAAACATGCTTTATTCATTGGTTAGTGCACAGTAAGTTTTCTCTAGCATTTAGTACTTTCGGACAATAAAATTGCTATTAGTTAAAGTTTATGAACTCACTAAGTAACACTCGAAGATGAATTGAAAAAATTAAAGTACTTACTTCCCAAAATTACCGCTCTCAAAGTCATGCCAACCAAACAAACTTGTGATATGAATAATAAATACTACAGGATTCCCTCTTTTTTTTTTTTTGGTAATAAAAGGGACTATATATTGAAAAAAAAAAACTTAAGTTATAAGTACAGAATGAGGGAAGCAAATTCCCTTGAGATCTGCATTTACTAGATTTTTCAAAACATGAGGGATACTATCATAGCATACAAAATTCACGTCATAGCTAGGGGTGCAAACGAGCCGAGTCGAGCCGAGCCTCTAGTTAATTTTGTGAAACTTAAATTCAAACTCGAGCTCGACGAGCTCAAAATGTCAAGCTCGAGCTTAAAAAATAAAATAATAATAATAATAAAATTATTTTTAAAAAATAAAAAATAATTATTTATTTTTAAAAATAAGTAAAATAATAAATTTTTAATAAATAATAAAATATTAGAAATATATGCGTAATTTTATTATTAAAAAATATATATATATAGATATAATTGAACTCGCGAGTCAACGAACTTAATGTTTTTGAGCTCGAAGCTCGTGACTCGGTTCGCGAACAATCCTAGTCATAGTATACAGGATTCCCTCTTTTAAGTTCCGGTCACGGGTTCATGGAATGAGCCTTCCCTTTTGAAATGTCACAGCCTCCCAAACTGGACTTTGAAAATGGTGAAATTTTTTTTTTTTTTTACCACCCTAAGCTCCCTTGGTCAATTATTCTAGAAGTTGAATATTTGGTTTTGAAAAGGGGGAAACATGAAAGGCAAAAATAAGTTTCCATTAATTACCCAAAGACTTGCCAACCAACAACAAACAACTGCTGAGAGACTTAAGACTCAAACTAAAGCCATCCTATGCTCAGCTCCCCTCATCTACACTCCTCCATATGATAGCCGTACCGCTTTTAGGGAAAAAGAAAGAAAGAAAGAAAGAAAAGAGGAAGCTTAATTCACACTGCATATTTTGCAGCCTCAGCCCAACACAGACAAAACTGCCATTCTTCAATTGCCTCACTCCTCCGTATAGCAATAGCAAGCAACAAAGCTCCATTCTTTCCCGATCAGCTGCCTCATTTGCCCCGTCTTTATTTTCTTGGAGAAAAAAAGGATAAAAAATATAAAAGGAAAATCAAAGTCGTCTGTTAGAAATGAAGAAGCTAAAGAGCTATTATCTTCACCTTCGGCATCCACAGACCGTGGAAAGAAAATGGATCTACCCGTTAGCTATAGGCTCTATAGTTTCTCTTTTTCTTCTCTTTCTAACCACCTTAACCTCGCCGGACGGCACCCCTCTTCTCCCTTTGTACCGCTACTACACCACCGCCTCCGCTGCCTCAATTTTCGTCGAATCCAAGCTCCGTCCCCTTCCCATTTCCTCGCTTCCTCCTCCCCCACGTTTTGCCTACCTCATTTCCGGCTCCGCCGGCGACGGCGACATGCTCAAGCGCACTCTCCAGGCCCTCTACCATCCCAATAACCAGTACGTCGTCCACCTCGATGCCGAGTCCTCGCCGGAGGAGCGCCTCGATTTGCACAAATTCGTCAGGGGTCACCGAATCTTCTCGAAATTCAAGAATGTGAGGATGATTACCCGGGCTAATTTGGTCACCTACCGCGGCCCCACCATGGTGGCCAACACCCTGCATGCCGCCTCCATCTTGTTGAAAGAAGGCGGTGATTGGGATTGGTTCATCAATCTTAGCGCCTCAGACTATCCCCTGGTGACCCAGGATGGTATTTTTCTTTCATCCTCCTTTCTCGAATTTTACTTTTTTTGAAGCTGGTTTTGGGTTAGTATTGATTGAATTTTATTTGGCTGAATAGATCTACTGCACACATTTTCATATCTGCCGCGGGATCTTAATTTCATTGACCATACAAGTAACATTGGGTGGAAAGAGTGAGTGATTCTGTTCAAGATCTCCTTTACCTGGGGTAATTTTAGTTTGTCATAGGGGGTTGCAAGAATTGATTTTGCGATCCTAATTATGCAGGTTTCAGAGAGCTAAGCCTGTCATAATTGACCCCGGGCTGTATATGACAAAAAAATCTGATGTCTTCTGGATTACACAGAGAAGAAGTGTGCCGACAGCCTTTAAGCTCTTTACAGGTCTAATTGGGCATTGTTTACTCCTTTAGCTTCTGTTTAAAGATATCTGCTTTGAGGGTTTAAATAATTTTTGGATATATTCTGTACGTGATTATGCTAACCTGCAGGTTGTATGTTTGAGCTAATGGTTAGCATCCCTAGATTACTGGTTAAATTATGTTCCAGTACAAATGACAATTATCAGGATGAATTCTGTGTTGGTCAGTTGGTTTGATTGCTTATATAGGGAGGTGGACACACTAAAACTCTTTGTGGGAAGATTGTAGTTGGATGCTTTATCGTTCTGCTATTCCGTAACTGGATATTCTCATTTTTCTTCATCATGCAACTTCTTGCTTCTTTGTGAAAGGTGTAATTATGGTGACTGAAAGCTGCATATGCAGTACAGCTGATAAGTAATACTTGTGGTCTTTACTGTGTATTTTTTTAATTATTTATTGGTCCTTCCATGTGCAACATTTAGCTCAGATGTCTATCAGGCTTTAGTACGAAAGGGATGAAGTCTTAGAACATCTGGAGAGGCTTACCCATTGAGAAAGCAGGATTAGTTAGATGTGTCAGTTTTGTTTCCTTTATGGGTGCGGAGAGGATTTTCAGAACAAGAGGTGTATGGACTGATGTTGCATGCTTTTCTCTAAATTGCATGTTTTTCAGGCATAGGAATTACTCAGCGCGAGAGTCTTCTGTTTTATGTTTGCCAGTATGTTGAGTCTATTATTTTCTTTGTAGTCATTTTGGTCGTTAATATCGGTAAATTGCATTTCAATTTCAAGTGCCTGATGTGTTACTCCGGTTGAGTGTTCTAAACATGATAATTGGATTGAAAAATAGATTTTGCATTGGGGGTTAAAAAATTCATTAATGGTGATTTGATTTGTTGCATCCCCACCACCCCCCCCCCCCCCAAACAACACAAAAAAAAAGAGGAAGAGTTAATAAGTTTTTCAAACCTGTTTTTCTTCCATCAGAATCGTTTGTATAAGTTCTATGTTTACATTTGGCATGATATATGTCCTATTTGTCACTGATTTCATATAGACATTTGGCATCCCTATACATGTCCACTTCATAGCCTGTACATCTTTTTTTTTTTCTTTTGACTTAGAGCTTCTCCACTTTGAAAAGAGAATAATCTGAATAACCAGCTATCAGCTGCAGAAAAGCATCATCTTTTTTAATAGCCGGCAACAGACATATTTTCTCTCTCATTAATACTATGTCTTGAGCTCAAATTTTTGTTGGCAAAATATGTCAGGCATCATAACAAGTGAGCAGAGAAAATTGTTCCGCTGCAATGCGACAATGGAGAATAAACATTGTTGTAAACATGTGTCGTTATATCTCCAAGTTTGCACTATAATTAATTTGGCATTGACCCTCTGAAGGCCATTTGCTTTTTTCAAGCGGTAGTCATTGATTTGTCAGATGACAGAGTTATAATTCAGGTCTTTTGACATCTTGTAGTCCAATATTATGGACTATTATTAGAGAGAATTTTACTAAATAAAATTTGATAACTTCAAAGCAATGGCATGGGGGAAAACAAAAAGAGGACAAAACTTGGAGAAATATGTATAAGCCTTTCAGGTTAGACTGGAATTTGTATATGAGCCTATGAGTAGTATCATCAAACATGATTATGCCTGTTTCTACTTGAGTGCATTTTACCTGCTCATGGCAATGGAATCAAACTTACAGGATCTGCGTGGATGGCTCTTTCTCGTCCTTTCATAGACTTCTGCATATGGGGATGGGACAACTTGCCACGAACAGTCCTCATGTACTATGCAAACTTCATCTCCTCTCCGGAGGGTTATTTCCACACTGTCATCTGCAATGCTCAGGAATTCCTGAATACAACTGTGAACAATGATCTTCACTTCATTTCGTGGGATAATCCTCCCAAGCAGCATCCACATTACCTGTCGGCGAATGATATGCAACGCATGGTCGATAGCAATGCTCCATTTGCGAGAAAGTTTCACCAAGATGACCCAGTGCTGGACAGGATTGATGCTGAGCTCTTGCTTCGTGGTCAAGGAAGACTAGTCCCTGGTGGATGGTGCATTGGCAGCAGGGAGAATGGTACGGATCCATGCTCTGTTACTGGTAACACAACAGTGCTCAGGCCAACTGCTGGTGCAAAGAGGCTGGAAAATCTGATCAGCTTTCTTTTATCGAATGAGAATTTCCGACCAAGGCAGTGCAAATAGCCGGATATTGTTTTAGAAGTCCCTTTTTTGCACTCAAGACAATTATACCGACGGGGAAAGGCAACACAAGAAGGCTGTTTTGCAGCTAGGGATACGACTACCCAGAAGTACGTTGCTGCCACTAGGCTGCAAGATTGACAGCGATGATTGTATTGGACTGAAAGAAATCGCGGGGTCCTTGTGCCTGGTGTATCTGGGTGACTTCTTGCTTGTCACCGATCATCTCGTTTTTCTGTGCAACCTTCGAGTCTTGGCAGTTTTCCGTGTTTGCCAGAGTTGTAAATGGACTTGGTGCTGATGGTGCCAAACTGTTAAAGAGAGGAGTAAAGGAGTTTTCGTTGTATTGCTTCAAACATTTTGTTACGGTTAGGTAAAATCATTACGGTAAATGCAGGTGAGCCAAGACAGTAACTGAAAATTGCATGAGGATTGAATCTAGAGGCGTAATATCTAACAGTACGAGGTTTACCTCATTTCGTTAATCCATTCTTTTTTTTTTTTTTGTCTAAACTCTTAACCGGGCCTGTGGGAATCTGGATAAGGACGTTTTCTTCATTGCTGTGGCATCTCTGTGTATTTTTTTTTTCGTAGGACAATTTCTTTTGACAAGCTGTTGCAACATGCCAGTTTGGCGGACCGATTTCTTGCATGGCATCGATCTGGAAAAATAAAAAAAGAGAGGGAAACAAGAAGACAATTCGGGCCATACCACCATCAGTGCATTTCTTGGCGTGGACAGATCTGCAAATTCAATCTCACCTGTGGCGACTTCGATCTCTACTGCAACGTGGACCCTGCCATTCAAATTAGGGTTAAAGAATGGAGTAGGACTCAGAGGCCTAACTTGTCAGGCCCATGTAAATAAAACCCCTTTACTATTCTAATGGACTATGGTGGGCTGCGCGGGGATTAATCGATCAAAGGTTGTATGGGCTGATTGGGAGCATATGATTGATTGTAAACTACTACTAGTTTCTACAACTCAGCAATTAACTACCGATGATAGTTTCTCGCCCGCAGATCCAACTGAGCTGGTAGCCTTGATGAATGGACGTGATACCATAACCCAAAGACGCCAAAATATATGTTAGGTGATCAGGAATTATATCAAGAATTTTGGTAAGAATGTAGCAAACGAGTATGGAATGAGTGAAACAAGGGGAGCAGGAAAGAAGTTGCAAGGGCATTGTGTCGCAGGAGCAATGGCGCTTGCATATTGATGATATTACTACTTACTACTGACTAGTACATATAGACGGTACTATGTTGCAACCACAGCAGGTGCCATTCCTCCTGCGACACGATTCCCCCAACTCCTGGGGAATCTTGCGCTGCTTCGCTCCAGCTGCTCTCCTCCCGGTACTTATAGATCCAACTCCCAATGCTGTTGGTAGTTTTTGTTCCCAAAAGAGAACAAAAAATTGTAGAAAAAGCGGTCAGTAGTCTCTTTCTTCTCTCGTTCTGTGGAAAGCAACCTTTTAACAACAATTGCTTCATTATGATACACATTATTGACTCTTCAAAATTCCACTAATTTCCACAAATTGTAGACTTTGTTTGGAAAGAGAACAATTGACTGTCTAGAAGGTGCACAGGAAGCAGTCTTCATTCCACAAATTTGAACTTCTGGAATTGCGAATTCCACTTGCAAAACCATTATTATTTGTATCATTGCTTGAAAGTCGTTGCTTTTTTGACCCGATTTCGCGTTACTTCGGTACAACTTCTTGAGAGTTTCTTGATTTTGAAGTGAAAGTCTTGTTGCTAAAGAAGTCTAATGAAAAGGCTTTTTTTTTTTTGGTAGGCACAGCATTAGAATTTGCTTATCATTTTGCAGCTAATAATTAGGGATCGAATAGCGCCCACAACTGCCAAGCTGCTTTATCAATAGTGATTCGGCGTTAACTCCCTTATAAACGAATGTGAATACACGTCTTTTCTATATGAATTTTATTTCTCCTTTTTACTAAATGAAAATCATTATTCATCATTCGTCGCCGCTGATCGTAAGCACTCCATGCTACAGCGCAAGTCTCCTTTTTTTGTTTTGTTTTTTTTTTTTTATGCACTAAATGTCATCATGGTTCTTCCTTTCCGTCGTGAAGATTGGTTGTACGAAAGATATGTCTATACATCTGCTGCTGCTTCTCAAAATATCACGACATTTCGTTTCATTGCGGTTGCCTGCTCATCAAAACAAGCAGACCATAAAAAGCAACAAGAGAAAAAAAAACTCCTGTTCTTGCACAGCTGTACATCTGAAGGAAACCAGCCTATTCCAAAGAGAAGAGGAAAAATGAGATATCACTGCACTTTGTTCTTCTTGTCACCAATTACTAACTTGGCTAAAATAATGCAAGATGGTGTTCAATTTTGTTGTATATAACTAGCCAGATGACGTTCGATTTTGTTCCATATAACTAGCCGCCTCGAGTCATTGGGTAATCTTGAAAGAGACTAGCAATTTTCTTTAGACTAACTTCTTGGGTGAATCTGGAAAGCAGGGAGTCAGCCAGAAGGGGATTTCTTGCATATGGCTGCGGTTCTCTGGACCTGGACAGTAAAACCGTCATTGCTACTTCTGAAAAGGAAAAAAAAAAATTGTAAGCTTCCATTTTTTCCTGAATACGGTGAGACTGAGCGAAGCGATTGTGAGAGGTTTCAGCTTCTTGAATGCCACCGCGTCGACCAGGTAATACCTAGGTCAGTCAGCAACTGTTTTTCAGTAACCATTCGAGTTGCACTTTGTTTATGGTAAAAGTAAGAATTACTTCGCTGTCACCTGCACAATCATTGCATGGGACACAGCAGCTGGCCCCTTTCTTATTCCAGCAACCGTGGCGCTATCATATGTCGTCCCTCCCACGTCACTTGTTGAGACCGTAATACAATAGCAGATGAAGGTCTGATGCTGTACAGCTGTTATCATTTGATTTCCAAAGCTCATTTTGCCTAAACAGCAGATATTATTGTCCTTTAGAGCCAGTCATAATTTTGAAAAGTAGTGCACTGGGCCCATCACAATTAACTCTTGTGGGTATTCTTGCTCAACTCCAGCCTCGTTAAAGACTCAAAAAGGGTCGAGAAGTATATCATCATCCGTTGGAAAACTCACACTCAAAGGCCAATCTTGTATGTTATGATGCTCAATAGCGGAGCAAGCTTGGAACTTCCAAGGACTTGGGGAAATTATAGGTTGCACAGAAGGGAGAAAACACGAAGAAGTCAAGAAACTGAAGGCTGATTAGTCTGTATAATGAGGAACGGCTTGAGAAAACGTCTGAGGCGGAGCCTAGATCCGATACTGTTAAACTGGGTCTCCAGTGGCTTCGAATCGTTTGTCAAGATGTTATATTACTTTTTCAGTTTTCTGCATTTTGGAGATTTAACGTGAATGTCAGCAAGGTTAGAAATGGATTATGAACGGATTTTGTTTTACTTTCTTTTTTTTTTTTCTTTCAATTAATTCTTTTGGGATTCTTGTGTTATTGCCGTATTAGTCATAAGTTAGATTTTTATTTAATTTTTCCTATGTAATTTTTAAAATCATCTGCAAAGAAATTAAGTTAGATTTTTATTTAGTTTTTTCTATGTAATTTTCTTAAAATCATCTGCAAAGAGGAAAGAGAAAGAGCGGTGAAATGGAAGTTGTGGGCATCAGGACGGGACTCCTTGAGCCACCAAGCGAACTTCCAGGCAAGGCAAGAACGGCCAATACGTGCGCACTGATTGTCGGACAACCGCGCCGCTTGACCGGAAATTTTGATTTTGACATAGACAAATAATAGCGCGTAGATGCATGGTGATGGGAGTAAAAGGATGAAGAATTTTTGGGGCTGGAGAATTATGATTGATTCAAGCTATGGCTGGCAGATCCCGATGACTAAATCAGATTTTGGAAGCATAGGGGCTATGGATTCGTGCATGGTAGCATGAGGATCATTAACCTCGTTACCATCCATCCATGTTACTTTTGTCAACAGAAATTGAGATAAAATGGCACATACCTTTCTTTCATGCTTGTCTTCTTGATGAGCAATACGTCGCCGCAGTTCAGGGCGTTGCTGCAAGTTCTAGCGGGAGCGATGGAGTTGGAGCGGGAAGACACAGATCGAAGAGCGGTGGATCCCTTCTAGTCCTTACACAGCCAGGTAAAATTATGATGATTACTGGCTCTAAAGGAAAAACCAATCAAATTCTTGAACTCGCAAAAAAAAAAAAAAAAAAAGCCTTTCTTTCATATATACTCGTAAATCCGAAACGTGACATGTAAATTGTACGATGTAAATGTAATCATGCATTTCAAATTAGCAGGTAAAAAGACCCGCAAGAGAAAAATAAAATAAAAAAACTCAGAATTGGAGTGACATAATTTTTAAAGTTTCTTACCTCGAAGAATGCATGCATCGATCCCATCTAAAAGACTACCGACATATGAACATGAAATCTGAAATGCAGAAGCATGTGGTAAAGACACTGGACATTGCCTATAAATATTCATTCACCTGGAAGGGAACCATGCAGACAATTAGAAGCGGCGAAGCAGGAAGCAAGTGGCTGGGCTGGAGTTTAAAGAAGTTGCGGCCTTCTTGTCGCAGGGAAATGGCACTTGTGTAAATTTGGCAGAGCCGAGCCGAGGCCCCCAAGAGCACAAGTGCCATTTCTCCTGCGACAAGAAGACTCCCACAGCTTCTTAGTGTATTAAGAAAAGAAGGCTAGCTCCCACAACTTCTTCTTAAGTATGCTTATTGCCCTCTGTTCAATTGGATGCCCGCTCAGATTCAGTCTGCCCACATTTATAGGGTTAAAAAAAGTTTTTTTTTTAAAAAAAATGTATATATGATCCCACAAAAAAGAGTGGGGATCGAAAGTGAAAACCGTCAACGGCATGTTAAGACTGGTAAATTGTCCATACGTAATCAATCAATCGTCTCTCTGGTGGAATTTGAGTGAGAACCGAAGGTGAAAGGTGATTTGACCGTTTTGGCCATGGAGTCCGCACGCTCAAAGTCGTCTGTTCAATGCTGGGCTTGGCGATTCACACCTGCAAAACATAAAATATATATATATATATATATATATATGTTTTTCCCCGGACCAGGACAACGTATGACAAAGTGCAATGCATTCAACTTTGGTCTATACTGTAGGAGTCTAATCTAACCCGCGAGACTGAGTTCCCTCGAAAGGAAGCTGCAGAAGCGGCGTGCGATTAGCGCACGACCTTTAAATTTTAATGCACGTGTTCTATATGTGTATGATTTGACACGTGTTCTATTAGGAAGGCACTAGGGAAGAAGCACATGACATGAGCGGGGAATCCAAACCTAGGTCACGGACAGTAATAAATTGGGCAAATTATCCAATTAGCCCTTTAACTCTTTGTTTAGGTAAAATTAAGCCCCTCATCTATTTTTTCCTGACTTTAAACCCTTGAACTTGTAAAATGGGAAATCCGTGGCCCTTTTAGCCAGTTTCTCCGGTTTTGCAACTGGATGACCAATTCACACGAACGCCATGTGCTTCTTTGAAGGGCATTTTTGTCCTCATATTCTAAGCAAAAAGAGCACACATAATCCACGAAGGAAGCTGGAAAAGTGCTCATTTTTAGTCAAAAAGAGAGAGAAAATAAAAGGGGAAATTGCTGATCACCTACCCCCCTTGCCCCATGGCGGGGGGGCATCAAATGGCCATCAAGGTGGGATGCTTATCTTAAGATGGAGGGAGCAAAGGTCCACTGGTTCTCAATTTTGAATTCACTCATGGTGATCACTTTCTTGGCTGGAATCGTGTTTGTGATCTTTTTGAGGACAGTTAAGCGAGATCTGACTCGGTATGAAGAGCTTGACAAGGAAGCTCAAGCCCAGATAAATGAGGAGTTATCTGGGTGGAAGCTTGTGGTTGGTGATGTTTTCCGGGCCCCCAGTAATCCAGCACTTTTGTGTGTGATGGTCGGGGATGGGATCCAGATTCTTGGGATGGCAGTTGTGACAATTTTGTTTGCTGCCCTTGGATTCATGTCTCCTGCTTCACGCGGAACATTGATTACAGGTATGCTGTTCTTCTACATGATTCTAGGAATTGCAGCTGGTTATGTGGCTGTTCGTATGTGGAGGACAATCTTCTGTGGTGATCACAAAGGATGGGTTTCTGTTTCATGGAAGGCCATGGGATTGCGTGGGGGTTGCGCAGGGAAGAGTAAGGGAGGTGAGGGAAATCAAATAGAAAGGTGGATTATGTGTGCCTTTTTTGCTTAGAATATGAGGACAAAAATGCCCTTGAAAGAAGCACATGGCGTTCGTGTGAATTGGTCATCCGATTGCAAAACCGGAGAAACTGGCTAAAAGGGCCACGGATTTCCCATTTTACAAGTTCGAGGGCTTAAAGTCAACAAAAAATAGATGAGGGACTTAATTTTACCTAGACAAAGAGTTAAAGGGCCAATTGGATAATTTGCCCTAATAAATTTGCGGTTGCGTCTACGGTGGAAAGTTCACCTTTCTGCCCATAGTAGGCAGAAGCAATGCAAGGAGGCCAGCTGTGCTACGTGGGGACGCACAAAGAAGGACATCCGAGCACCACTGGAGAAAGCCGGTTTGGCTTGGATGAAAAACGTTATATATTTTAAAATTATAATAAAAGTTTTCTTAAAAATTTATTCATCATCTAATGCCCAATACTTATATTTGATAAATTAAAATAGTTAATTAAATATTCTATTATAATATAAACAACTATATGTCATTGAGTTGATTGAATGATATTTTCTTCTTTTTTTTTGTATTTCAATTAGTTGTCAATTAAGTTTCAATTGAAATAAATATTTTATAATTATTTAAATTATCAATTTAAGATGAGCATAAATATAAATACATTAAATTGTATTATTGAAATATTTGATTTAATATAAAAGAAAGACAAGAAGAAATACAAGAAATTTTTTAAAAATTCACGTGAGTCCTTTATATTAGTAATCACATTTACTTGTTATTATAATTACAATGCCTAACCATAACCAATTGAAACTCATATACACAAGTCATACAACAATTTGCATTATAATGTTTACAATTAAAGTTACTATACACTCAAATTAAAATTCTCTTTTTTCCACTAAAATTTCTTTTATATATGATTTATGTGTTATCAGTGATTTGTAATTAATTTAATGAAAAGATGCTCTTTAGGTTAAATGATAGGTTTTGACAATGTGGATTACTTTTAAGGATTTTAATGAGATTTAGAACACACTTTTTATGCATTTAATGTAATTCACATTTTATTTTATTTGAAATATAATTATTTAAAATATAAGGGACCATATTGAACAAATTTTCAAATATTAGAGACCAAAAAATATAAAGTCAAACTTTTGACTAATTTTAACTTGACTTTGACTGTTAGATATTATTGTATTCTATTAGTTGTCCTAAATTTGCCGAAAAAAAAATTTGAGACCATATTTGTTTTGATCAAAATATCAGAGACTAGTTTAAACTCATAGACCAAATATTGGGGGACCAAAATTGCACATCTTCCTTTATTTTAATCATGTTTGATATCCCAACTCTTTCTTTTATATTTGCGCTTCAATTATTTTAAATATTAAACTCAATTAAAATATAAAAACTAACACAATATTTTGTTTTGACATGTACAAAATTTACTAAATAATATTAAAAATTTCACCTATTTTCTATTACAACAATTTCGTCTACCTAAAATGACAATATCATTAGTTAAAGATTGTGTTCACATTAACAAGTTTGTGTTCACAATCTATGTTGTAATATCATTAAAAATTCTTTTTTCTAAAATGACAAATTTATTCTCCATTAGTTAAAGATTGTGTTCACATTAACAAGTTAAAGTATTTATAAATTAATTTTCTATATATACATGATCAATGTATATTAATTCAAGTAGTTATATGCCAAAATAATTTTTCCTTTTTTTTTTTTTCATCCTCCCACCTCTTCCCACACCCTTTCTGCAATTGTTAGGTACAGAATTTGAATCTTGAATCTAACAGCAGTGAAGACACTAAGAGCCCTCCGTTGTGTTGTATTGTGGTAAGTTTCAATACCAAATTAATGAATTAAATCCACTACTAGTGGAGGGAAACAAATAAATTTATTATACTCAAGATGTATATAATAACAACACTCACAAAATAAACCTATACTAGACACTACAAAATTGAGTTTTACTCTTGAAAATATCTGCTCTAATTTTATCAAAGTCTCATCTTGATTTGAGATATCTGCTCAAACGCTCACTTAACAGCTGAGCTTTTTTATTTACTTTCTTTCTCTTGAGCTTTGATGCACTTCATGTAAGGAAATGACACCGATTTATACTACTGTAGTAAGGTTCTGACAAGCGTCTGTGATTTTTCTCTTCTCATTCAGTGCCCAATTACCAGAAAAGTCAGTGTGAATTTCACGAGCAAATCTGGCTCAAGATACAAGCATGAACCAAATTGATCTGGCGCCACAATTCCCACATTCACCTGCAAGAATGGACTTCGGCAATTTGTCCATTGCCAATAAATCAGTAAAACAAACACTCCAAAGCCGTAAAAAGTGCTGCCTTTCTTCTATGGATAACTTTAATCGAACTCATAAATGCAACAATAGCCTACAATTTTTAACTAAAGGCATTGTTGTGTTATTTAAAATACCCACTGGGTTTATATCAAAACAATTTCTTTTTTTTTTTAACGGCAAATTTAGATCCCTCTAATTAAAGATTGCGTTCACATTCAATGGATAATTTGTTATGTCATGTAAGAAATTTGTGCTCGCATTATAATATCAGTTGCGGCATAATACTTGTCAAAATACTTGAAACGTATATTATGTATAACATATATGTGTACGAGCTCTTGCTAACACACCTCCACAATCCAAACTTAAGCTCCCAAAACTGATAAGATTTCACTTAAAAAAAAAAAATAGATTCTTCTGATTTATTATTTCAACAATTCATGGAAAATCATGATACCGGGTTCAGTGGTCTAGGTCCCAAATCTCTCTTTTTTTTTTTTTTTTTTGAGCATGGGCTCTATAATATGCCATGCAGTCTAAAACTCTAAAATAGCTTAAATATGACTTTCTCCCTTTCCATAACTGATGCAAATTTTCAGATATATTGGGAATTTGATCATCTAACCTTTTTTTTAATGTTATTTTATCTTATCTTAATATGATCTCATTTGTTAGACATTTAATCCTTTTAGATTGACATCATATAATTACGTGACTGTTAGATTGGAAACCAACATCATCTTAATATTTGTCTATGTCAAAATGTGTTCTAAATCTCATTAAAATCCTTAAAAGTAATCCACATTGTCAAAACCTATCATTTAACCTAAAGAGTATCTTTTCATTAAATTAATTACAAATCACTGATAACACATAAATCATATATAAAAGAAATTTTAGTGGAAAAAAGAGAATTTTAATTTGAGTGTATAGTAACTTTAATTGTAAACATTATAACGCAAATTGTTGTATGACTTGTGTATATGAGTTTCAATTGGTTATGGTTAGGCATTGTAATTATAATAACAAGTAAATGTGATTACTAATATAAAGGACTCACGTGAATTTTTAAAAAATTTCTTGTATTTCTTCTTGTCTTTCTTTTATATTAAATCAAATATTTCAATAATACAATTTAATGTATTTATATTTATGCTCATCTTAAATTGATAATTTAAATAATTATAAAATATTTATTTCAATTGAAACTTAATTGACAACTAATTGAATAACAAAAAAAAAAAAGAAAATATCATTCAATCAACTCAATGACATATAGTTGTTTATATTATAATAGAATATTTAATTAACTATTTTAATTTATCAAATATAAGTATTGGGCATTAGATGATGAATAAATTTTTAAGAAAACTTTTATTATAATTTTAAAATATATAACGTTTTTCATCCAAGCCAAACCGGCTTTCTCCAGTGGTGCTCGGATGTCCTTCTTTGTGCGTCCTCACATAGCACAGCTGGCCTCCTTGCATTGCTTCTGCCTACTATGGGCAGAAAGGTGAACTTTCCACCGTAGACGTAACCATAAATTTGCAAGTGGATCATTGTTCACGTCAGAAGCAGTACGTAGAATCTGCGTCTGATCCGAGACCAGCTATAATAGTTGGTTCGAGTTGGAGCTTAACAACTAGAGTGGCGGGTCCGGATTATAATACTAATGTGAATGAGTTGAGTTTTGATTTGACTTCCTCCACAGTAGGTCAACCGTTGACTCCAACTCCTGAATCATTCAGCCTTCCGTCTCGAAATTTTTGTTCCATTTGAATTTGTCAAATCTTGCATATTAGTAGACTAGAAAAATAGCATGGATTAGCTGTTTTTGAGGTATCGTGACCCTCTGATCGCAGCCAGTCATTGATAATAACAAGGAGCCAGTCATGATCGGAAGACGAGGAGAAGAGGGACGGGGGTTTCTAGAATGAAGGAAGGATGGGGAGAGAGGAAAAACGAGAGGAAGAGAGAGATGGTGGTTGTGACGGTAGCGGTAATGGGTAGTGATGTTTGATGAAAGAAGAAGTGGTAAATCTTTTTTTTTTTTTTTGTATTTGTGAATTGATTTTGTATGGATTGATGTTTTTGAAATTATCTTTATTTATAGATTATTGTAAAATTATATTTGAAAAATCATATTTTGAATATGTTATCTGTTTTGCCTCATTATGGTGGGATGTCAAGTGTTTGAAAGTTTCTAAAATGTTACTAAAAACGTACTTATTGAAATTTGGTCAAATCTAGGTCGACAAAAAGAATAATTCAAACGGCCTTGATTTTCTAAGATGTAATTGGCACTTGTTCGCTTTTAGAGGTTGAATAGGTACGTTGATCAAGTTCCGTAAGATCTTGTTTTCCAATTCAAGTCGATGCAACGTGGCCTATTCTGTAATTTTCAAAGTATTTTAGAGGAACAATTATTCGTAAATAATGCATAGACATCGTGACCATAATAAAAATGACATATTCTATAGACGCAGAAAATTCATATATATATATATATATATATATAGATATATGGATTAATTTTATATACATTGACAGTATATGCACTTTCATTATTGGATGCATGACACAAATTTTGAATTTAAAATTGAAATTCAAAATTTGTATGTGTGTCGTGCATTTAGATCTTGTTTGATAACCCACTTCAGCATTTAAATTTAATGAATTAATGGATTCAAACCGTTTGATAACAAAAAATTGAACATCTAAATTAATAAAATAACACTGAATTTTCCAAACAAAACTTACTCTGATCTCAATAATATAGGGTTTGTTTGGATAGGAAGTTATTTGAAACAATTACTGTAGTACTTTTTGTGATGTAATATATGTGAAATAAAAAGGTGGTTGGAAATTGTGTGTATGATGCAAGCAAAACAATTTTTGAAATTTTTATTTGAAAATCTTGCAATCCAAACAAACTCATGGATTACTTGTTTTTCGGGGTGTTGTGGCCCTCTGATCGCAACCCAGTCATCTGAAAACAACAAGAAGCTACTCAGGGTAGTGATGGAGAAGAGTGGGAGGGTTTCTAGTATGGAGAGAGAGAGAGAGAGAGATGGTCGCCATCAATGGGTAGTGATGTGTGATGGAAGAAGAAGTGGTAAATTTTTTTTTTTTTTTTTTTTTGTATTTGTGAGTTGATTTTAAATGGATTGGTGTTTTTAAAATTATTTTTATTTATATATTATTGTAAAATTATATTTGAAAAATTAGATTTTGAATATGTTGTCTGTTTTGCCTCATTATGGTGGGATGTTAAGTGTTTGAAAGTTTCTAAAATGTTACTAAAAACATATTAAAATTTGGTCAAATCCAGGTCGACAAAAAGAATAATTCAAACGGTCTTGATTTTCTAAGATGTAATTGGCACTTGTTCGCTTTTAGAGGTTGAATAGGTACGTTGATCCAGCTCGGTAAGATGACTAGTCTCTTGTCTTCCAATTCAAGTCGATGTAACATGGCCTATTCTGTAATTTTCAAAGTATTTTAGAGGAACAATTATTTGTAAATAATGCATAGACATCGTGACCTTAATAAAAGGGACATATTCGTTGGACGCAGAAAATTCCTATATATACATATATGGATTAATTATATATATATATATATATATACACACACACATACTAACAGTATATATACTTTCACCATTGAATGCATAATACATAATTTAAATTTAAAATTTAAATTTTATACATGTATCATGCATTTAGGTTCTATTTGATAAACTAGTTCAGTCAAAAATTGAACATTTAAATTAATTAAGTGACAGTAAATTTTTTAAACAAAACTTACTTTCAAAATTAAGTGATGTATTAGATTAATTTTAATTTTCAGATTTCAGTTTTATCAATCGTACCCTTACTCTATATATATAGAACACAACCAATTATCAAAAATGACACTAAATTTTTTAGACAAAACTTACTTTCAAAATTAAATGATGTATTAGATTCATTTCAATTTTCAGATTTCAGTTTTATCAAAAGAGAAAAAAAAAATATGGGGAACGAGTTAAATGTATCACATGACAAATACTTCCTCTTAACTCATTTTTTACAGCATCGTCATTCTTTTGAGCTTAATTTACAATTATTACTCATCCTTCCGTTCATTACTTTCTCCATTTAAGTTTACCTTTTTTGAATAACAAAACACCTGAACTGCTAATTGTTTCATTTCCCGGTGAAGGAATGAAATGCTGTTGTCCAGCTTGGCGAGTTAAAGGTTTCAAAGTTCTGTCCAATAATAAAAAGTTCCAAGACAGCCCAAACCAACAAAAATGAAAATTGTGTTCCCTGTATCCAATTTTGACTCCAGATCCTCAAAAGATGAAGCATCCAATCACTCTGAATACAGACAGGTTCGGTTCATTTTGTGGGATGCGTTTTAAATACATTATTACTTCAGTAAACAAATCACATCTAAATTAAATGGGTTGTTTTTTTACGGATGTGCAGAAGAAGAAGAAAATACAATTGAAGGTCTCGTTATCTCAGAAAATACAAGCAGTAAAATTTCTGTATATCTCATCAAATCAGTGATCAATTTCTACAACAGCGGTAGACGTTGATACCAACAGCTAAGCACCAATCTGAATCTACAACTCCTCAGCTCAGAAAACATGAAATATTCTTCTCATAGACCGAAATCTCTGAAGTCTGACATGTGAATTTTTTCATGTATCATCATAGCAGATGTTTCGCAGCAGTAGCAGAATTGCTATAGAAACAAAAGCCAAAACAACAATACTTGATTGGTTTCTGAAAATCAATTAGGCAGAACCACATCGATTCCACCTAACCTAGGAATATTCAGCTAAAACGAAAACACATGGTAAAAGCTCTCATACACAAAATATATCTACTCATGTTTTAAGATCAGAATAGCGTATAGTGCCTAACTGCTGTAATTAATTAGGCATCGTAATCACAGAGCCCAGACAACAACCCATTCCCATGCCAATTACCACAAGATTTCAGAAAAAAAAACAAATAAGACAAGAAAAAGGGACCCAGAATTAAAAAAAAAAAACAAAAGAAAAAAACTGCGCAAAAGCTAAAGGCACAGGGGATCAGAGAGTGCTTGTGTTTCTCAATCACAGAAAATTCAGAAACACGGACCAAATAAGAGTATCATCATCTCCCCTTCCCCAGTTTTATAAAACAACAAAGACAAAGGAAATAAATGGGATAACATTAGATTCACAAAACAGTTCAAAAAAAAAAAAAAAGGAAAAAGGTACAATCTCTCCGTTAGAGATATCGAAATCATCAGAGACTTAAATACAACGAATCACGGACTTTAAAGTTTCATATTGTTGCAGTTTTCTTCTCATCAGATGATTTCGATTCAACAAAACTGAAAACATATGGAATAGACTAGGCAAGAAAACAAACACGTATTTAGCTGAAATTAAGCTGTTTGGATATCCTTCTTGAAACGCAAATGGATGATCGGAAGAGAACAAGAGAAGAGAATAAAATCAAGCTACATGAAGAGACTAAAATTGCACCGACCAGTTTTTATAGGGACAGGGATAGGGATCTGACGGCCGTAATCGCAGAAAACCTCCAATCCACAGCGGCGGCTGGTGTTGTGAGTTGTGACTTGTGAATGTGATAACCCTAATAATACCATCGGGGGTTGGGCTGTTGCTTTATATTGGGCTCGAGCAATTAAGTGGACTATTTGAATGCACAATTTATCCCCTGTCCGGCAGTTAGGTCCAGGAGTAATTTGAGGCATTAAGCCGAACCCATACCCATTAAATTTTGTTAAATTTAAGCTCAGGCCCGGACGGTACTGAATTATTGATTGCTTTACACAACTAATTAGATTTAAAAAAATATATATATATATATATATATATCACATATGCGTGCGTTTAAATACACGCACTCAAATGTGCTTGACAAAAATCTTGCTTTAAGCCTCATTCTATTGGTCTAATCAGACACGCGTTCAGATTATACACCGCCAAATCAACATCATGCCTGCCATAATTTATAAGGAATTTTTTTTATAATACTGCTATGAGAAATTTTTTGGCACTGGTCATCAAAAAGAAGATATTTGAAAGAAATTGGAGAATGGAGAGACCACGGGAGTAAAAATACAGTAGTAGTTAAATTTGCGACTCGGATGGAGTTTGAAGCATTAATGAAGGGGAAGTGCTGAGGATTAAAAAGGGGATTCTTTCCCTATGTAGACATAATTAGGGAAGTTGCAGGAGCACCCCATCCATCCGGGCAGAAGGTGATGATATACTGATCTGCAGGGCAATTAACCAAGGGAGAAGGCGTATCAAAGGGTTTGCTAAAATAATAGGGACACTCAGCCTTGAAGAATCTGGAGTAGACGTCGGGCTTGCACGTTGCTGGACTCCCATATTTCTTTCTGCAGCAGAAACGATCCTCATTGAAGGCCAAGCATGCACTCTTGCAAGCCACAACTTGTCCGAGCTCATTCAGGACCGCCAGCTCCCCAGGGCACTCCTTTTTTATATCTGAGAAGCACCCTCCGATGTAGCATTTTGGTGCAGTAGGGTATGGGGTCACTGAAACAGGGAGGTTGTAGCCATCCACTATACTTACGTCGTAGAAACTCGGCTGCCTCTTGTCAACCTGCAACGTAAACTCTACTAGCGTCACAGGAGGAACGCCGATCGCCCCGGCGCATTCGAGTCGGCCGTTGCAGTCGCCTGTTTCGCAGGCTCGTCCGTCGTTGGAGTAGTCGAAATTGCAGCCTGTTCTGGCCCAGATGCGGCCACTCCAATCTCCTGGTGCCTGGAATTTCCGGAGTCTCCCGGATGGAAGATAGAAGCCACCGTTTGCTACGACTGGAAAGCCTTGGTTCGGGGCAGTGGCAGGCCATATGGGAAATGGGCACTTGTTGCTCACGTAAAATGTGCATGCTTCCACAACTCCACTACTGCCTGTGGGATACGTCAAACCATAAACGATGCAAAAGAAGAAGAAAAAAAGAAAGAGCTTAGGAAACGAATTACTATATACATATATATATTACCAGATGATATGCGGTGGCATAGCAGGACGAGAATCCAAACCGAAAATGTACTGCACAACTTCATTCTGATTTCAACGCGATGAAAGGCAATACGAGTTTTTGCTTTTGGTTTGTATTTATAGTTAACAAGTGAATGTATGAATCAAACATTTATGCCTGGACTGCTTTGATTGTACTTCACGTTTTCAAACTAATTCAGTCTTTAAGGAGAAGAAAGCAAGGGTTACCATACGTGTGTATTGTAATCTCCCTCCATTCTACTACTATCTCTTCTTGGTACTGTCTGTTCTAAATAGAAGACCAATACTAGAATTTACGGGGCAATAAATTAAAATAACAAAAGGAGAAATAATTGACTCTTTTTTTGTTGCTTGTGCAGAATTTTGCAATACTTGCTTCATTTGGAGTCAGAAGAAATCATCTGGGATTTTCAGAAAGTAGCAATCAGGACACTTCCTTCACCTTCGATTTTTGTTGGGCTAAAATTGCACTTTAGACATTGCTTTTTTGAATATGTTGTATTGATTTTTTATTGAATTAATAGTTATTGAATCTTAAGAAAACAAAAAAGAACTAAAATATAATATTTATAAAGAAAAAATAACAATATAATAAAGAGTGAGACAGTGAGTGGCACAGGGTGTGAGACAGAAGATCCGTTGCGTTTATCTAGGATGTTTTTAAAACAAAAATGTGGTAGTTTTTCAATTTGGCTCTTCCCATCTTGTTTTCAGGTAGTTTTTCTCAACTACTACTTTTAATTTAATTTATGGGATCCGCCCCCTTTCTCACTAAGACTTGTGGATCAATTCCAAATATATAGCATCCAAAGTGCTTGAACTGGGAAAACTGTTGTATCAGATCTAAAAGAGCGGATCAACTTCTAAGCTAGATTTACCTTTTAAAATCTCAAAGCATCGTCTAGAAAGGAACGTGAATTCTCTTTCAGTTTTTTTTTTCGCTTTTTAGTAGGCTTTGGAGAATTAGCACTATAGAATATTACTCCAATACAACCCTCGGCCTCGGGTATAGATACCTACCATCGTATTCCGAAATAAACTTTTGAATCTCTTTTACCTCACCCCCAAAAAAAATACTATATATATATATTTGTTTATTGGATTTAATGCCAAAGACTCCTCCGTCGTCATTGCTGTCTCATTAAACAAGCTTTCAGTCCAACAATTAGAGTCCCTGGGTTGGCTCCAAGGGTTGCCGATTTTTTGAGTTCAATCTGGGATTAGATTTAATTAATTAACGAAAAGTCTAGTACTAGAGTTGACAAAAGGCAACTAGCTCCTCGGATTGGGTTCTTGGGTGATAGTATCCCCTTAGTAGCAGAGTTCCCCCTTTAGGCTAGTTATCCCACATTGGTTCTGGGAGGAGTTTGGGTTGGGTAGTTAAGTCCCTGAATTGGCTCCAAGAGTTGCTGGCTTTTGGAATTCAATCTGGGATTAGGTTTAATTAATCAACGAAAAGTTTAATACTGGAGTTGACAAAAGTCCAGCAATTAGTGATTCTGTTGTTTGCCTTGTCAAACCAAGTTGCATCTCATGTTTCACACTCCAGCACACCTAAAACCTTGAGGGTCAATGTTTTTTCGAGGGTGTAGACAAAATATCACACTTGGGAATGTTTCATGTGTAGGACAAGAATCATTGGTGGAGTAAGGGCCTTTATTTAGGAGTGCAATGATATTAATTTAGATTTACAAGGTGTTGGTTTGTAGATTTCAGACTAACAAAATGTTCGTTATAGTAAATCAATTCATCCAAAATTAAAAAAAATAATAATAATAAATTTGTTTACAACTTGATATTTGTTATTTTCCAAGTCATTTAATTGCATGAAATTTTATAGTAATTAAAATTATGCCTAAGAATACAAGATGTGAACTCTATTAAACATATACAGTAGGCAAATAATTTGTACACAGTCAAATTGTCAAATGAATACCTGATTGGGTTACTTATAATTCGCATGAAGTGGACATGTAAGAAACATTCAATATTAAGTAAAATAGCATTTGATTTAATAAAATAAATAACATTTAATAGAAAGGAAAAAAATAGCATCATTTGATATTTAAGGGGAAAAAATAACATTTAAATGGCCCAGCACCTTTTTGCCATGTCCAAAGCAGCTAATTTTTAAGGAATTTTAGCTTTTTAGCCTTCTAAGAAGGAATTAATTATCGATCATAGATTTTGTGTCATCGTCTCAAAAAAAGGGCAATCGTATTAGCTTTGAAGAAATAAGGGAGTTGCTTTAGAGTTTAGATCTGAAAAAGAGAAGGATACTTTAGAGTGCTATTCCCTTTATTTTTTTCGTTTTGTTAAGTGCTTTGATTAAAAATTTTGGATCAATGCAATAAGCGATTCGTCAAATTTACCCTTTAAATATAGAAGAGCACGTAATGGGACCATAGCTTATTTCGGCCAAAATTAGCCTGAAAAGATGTTAGAGCACAAAAAACGAACATATTTTATATGTTAGGGATTAAAGCCGTTCGTTTTCATTCACATCAGCTATATGTGAAGGAAGCTTTTATTTTTTGTTGAAAGAAGATTGATGCAATTTTTCCTACGTGTGACAGCTGAATTAGCACTGGCTGGTTGTAATTTAAGTCTAAGCCATAGTTGTCAAAATCGCGATTCGGATCGTAGGATCGTACGATCCGGATAATCAAAATCGATCCGGATCGTAGGCAGAGTCGCAAATCATATGAATCTTTGCAGGATCGCATAGAATCGTAGCAGGATCGTGTAGGATCGTAGGATCGGTAGGATCGTACGATCCTACAATTTTTTTGTAAATTTGTGAAATACGAAGCTTCATTTTGCAAATAAATGAAAATATTTGTGGTATATTTGTAATTTATCAAAGAATTGTAACCTTTAATTGCAATTAAGAGCTTTTGGTAGGATTTTACAATCCTACGATCCGATCTTGTGAAACTAAAATCAATCCTACGTAGGATCCCGATTTTATAAACCTTGGTCTAAGCTCGATTACAAGAAGAAACGTTTCTCAAGCCCCCCCTTTTTCTCCCTCTCGATCTCTCTCTGTATCTGTGTAATGCATTTAATGGGCCTCCGGGTGTTTTTATCTGGGAGATCTTGGGATACCATCCGAGAACGAACGAGAGCCGATAGAGAGGACCCAAACTCCAACCCAACTCAGTCATTGGGTCTCTCACCAAACTCACGCCCCATTTCAAATTTGAACCCAGCCTGCCTTTTTAAGTCCCTATGCTGTCCCACACTGACTCTCTTGTTCTCTCCATCTCTCTCTCTCTCGTATTCTGACTTGGCGCCCGAGTCTCTCTCTCGCACTTGTTTGACCACCTCGGCGTCGCCAAATCCCCATTTTGACCGTATAACCCCGTTTTCCCTCCCCTTGCTCTACTTTAAACTCACCCCCTAAACCAAAACGCCCTCTCTGAGGCGTTTCGTCAAACATAGTGCTGCCCTTTATATCTCTCAAGCATGAGCAAACTAATGAATGAGGGCACCATACATGGTGAAGCCGATGCCACCAAGGTCAGTTTTCAAGACCTTAGCATCTATAGCAGTACTAGCATGGAACTCTCTAGTAGTACCGTCACGGTTTCTGGTACTACCAGCGTAGGAAGTAAATTGAGTGACTATCAACTTGAGGAGAAAGAAATGGTCTCTATAGATGTTGAATTGAATAAAGGTGGGGAATGTGTTGAGAGTGGGAAGAGTAGTTTGAGTTCCTCTAGTTACTGTAACAGCATAGACGTAAATGAGGCTAGTTTTAGAAGCTATTGCCCATCCAAACCTCATAAGGGTAACGACATCCGCTGGGACGCAATACAATCTGTGCTTGCTAGAGATGGTCAGTTGGGCTTGGGGCATTTTAGGCTGTTGAAGAAATTGGGATTTGGGGATATTGGGAGCGTTTACTTGGCGGAGTTAAGAGGGATGAAATGTTTGTTTGCAATGAAAGTAATGGATAAAGGGACGTTAGCCGGGAGGAAGAAGCTGGTGAGAGCTCAAACTGAGAGGGAAATATTGGGTTTATTGGACCATCCTTTTCTTCCATCCCTTTATTCACATTTTGAAACAGAGAAATTTTCGTGCTTGCTAATGGAATTTTGCAGCGGCGGGGATCTGCATTTGCTTAGGCAGCGTCAACCAGGCAGGCATTTTACCGAGCAAGCTGCAAGGTTAGCTCTTCACTGCTGAGTCATTGTATAACTAATTGCTTCTTGTTAGTCGCCCTTTTTGGTCAAGTTTTTACTATCATTAGATATTAGTGCAATTGGCTAGAAAGCGTATGGTGTTAGCACTCTTCTAGAGGAAACGAGAAGCTGAGTGATTCTTTTACATATATACACCATACTCTCGAGGTGGTAAATCTGGTCTTGTGGAAGATTGATTGGGAAAAGTCTTCTGTTTCATGCTAGTTTCTCTCAAAACACCTTGTTCTATATGGGGACATTAGACATTCATTTGAAGCTAGATGTATCACCATATAAGCTGCATCATTTGGTTGAGTTATGTGCCCACAATATACTCCTACTTGCGAGTAATATCACTATATTTTGAACCTCTGGCTCCTATACTATCATGCTCTTAGAATCTTATAGGTTAACATTGAAACACTTGCAAGTGTGTGAAATGAACTCGTTCTGCAAAGAGTTTCCTGTAACCCTCGACATTGCAGCATAGTCTCAGGTGATTAGAATTTGAATGATGCGACTTGTCGACATTTCATTGACAACTTATTTTACTCGAATATTGGCAGGTTTTATGCTTCTGAAGTGCTCCTTGCCCTAGAATACTTGCACATGATGGGAGTGGTGTATAGGGACTTGAAGCCTGAAAACGTCATGGTGAGAGAAGATGGTCATATCATGCTATCAGACTTTGATTTATCATTGAGATGCTATGTTAGTCCAACCCTGGTTAGTTCCACCACTGAACTGTCTTGTAAAATTTCATCGTACTGTATCCAGCCATCATGCAAGCTACCAGTTTGTGTAGAACCTTCTTGCTTCCAGCCCTCTTGTTTTAGGCCTAGTCTTTTCAACTCCAAAACATTAAAATTGCGAGGAGAATGTACGCCTGCAGTTGCTTCGGATTCACTGCCGGTGCTCATTGCAGAGCCAACTGCAGCACGATCCATGTCATTTGTCGGGACACATGAATATTTAGCCCCTGAAATAATTAGAGGTGATGGTCACGGGAGTGCTGTTGATTGGTGGACCTTTGGAATATTTCTGTACGAGTTGCTTCATGGAAAGACTCCATATAAAGGAAACGGAAACAGAGAGACATTATTTAACGTTGTAGGCCAGCCCTTAAAATTTCCCGAGAGTCCCACAGTTAGTTTTGCTGCGAAGGATCTGATCCGTGGCCTGCTTGCTAAGGATCCCCAGAAAAGATTAGGGTTTAAAAAAGGCGCTACAGAGATAAAACAACATCCATTCTTTCAGGGTGTTAATTGGGCTCTCATCCGCAGTACCCAACCTCCAGAAATTCCCAGACCTGTAGATCTAGCGTTTTGGAATCAGACATTCAAGCCACCCTTGCCTTCAAATGGTGACAAAGGAACTTCTGACTCCGATAGATCTTCTGGCCCTTACCTAGATTTTGAGTTCTTCTAATCAATTTTGGCTGGATAGATTGCTGCTCTCGTCCTTGAGGCAAGCAAATTTTGTTTACCGATTTGTATTTATATCCCTCAATGTCACCTTCTTCTTGTTGTTTAGAAGCTTCTGCTTTCTAGCCTCTTTGAGTATCAAAGTGATCTTTTCATCTTTCTCAAGGTCCTGCCCAGCCCAGGTAAATGAAATGAAATCACAGAAACGTTTAGTTCTTCTCTTTCCCGGTGACCATTATGTTTCCTTTAACGTGGGACGCTATAAAAGAAGCTACTTTTGTTTATTAAACTGGAGTCTCTCAAGCAACCTAGAAACAACTTCATTCATTGCCACTTCTCACTCAATTTAGTCCTGGAAAAACAGCACAAGGAATCTTTAACTAATAGAGTATATCTTGCTTGTCATTGTGACTGGTAAAATCTTTATGAATCCTCTTTGAGTGGCGTCCTTCCCGATTTAGTTCCCGTCCAGAGTCTCAGAAGATTCTGAATTCTTGAATCTATATGTATCATTGTACCTGACGCCTGGAAGTGTGCTCATCTGACCCAACCAAATTCTCAAGTACGCATCAAGGGGTCCATTGATCCCAACGCAGAACTGAAATTACAGAATCAAATGATCCTTGCAGAATAGAACTACAGATATTATCGAACCTTTTGGACGTAAGCCGAAGTAAACTCACCACTATATCTCTGCAATCTCCCATCACCTGCACTTTTACCCGCTGCCAAATGGACCGCGCCTTGTAGAGCACGGACATCAGAATAACAAAATCATTATCGAATTTGTCCGCCATGCATATAAAAAGTACTTGGAATAAAATGAATAACATAAGATAAACTGAAATTCACGCTTTGCCCTTCACGGCATAAAAGATGAGACAAACGCCAGCGAGCTGGACGATGAGACTTGACAAGAATTCTTCGATGAGCATATCTGCAATATATATATACACACACGCACGCACGCTCGCTTTTCATCACTTTTATTATATATTATGTATTACCAATATGACCATACAAGCAGACCTGCACGCTCAAAGTTACCCAAGTACTTGGTAGTATTTTCCATCATAAAGTATGATGATGTCAATGTTGTAGCTTACCATTTAGTCAACAAGGCCAGTTTGTGAAACTTTTTTGCTAGTGGCGGGGATAGAAAAAATTCTCGGCGGGGCAAAAGCAACTCTAAAATTTTTTACCTACTTTTTTTCTAATTTTTAAGCCAAAAAAGTATTCGCCAACAAGTATAAATGATGCATATATTCCATGAAAAATATAAAAAAAAAAACTCAAAATTATTAATGTAATAATAATTTTATTTCAAAAAACAAACTAAACCATTTACAATTGGTTACGACGAGTTTTCATATTTTGATAACGATTTATAACCTTCTCATTTTAAACTCCACAAAATATATTTTTCTCAATGTAAGTAACTAAATAATCATTCATCCAAGCATCTCCCATTTTATTTCGAAAATGATTCTTCACTATATTCATAACTGAAAAAGCCCTCTCTACGATAATTGTAACAACAAACAAAATCAAAGCCAACTTTAAAAACATATAATCCAGTAGATATATAAAATTTCAGATGAGATTATATCAAAACTTTATGAGTGCTATAGAGATTTAAGGAGGGCAGCAGGGGCCGTGCCCCCACCGTAGATCGCCCCGGCTTTTTGCTGAGGGTTGCCAATTCAAATGCTCCTAATATTTACTAGTGGAAATAATAAATGTATTCACGATGAATTTTGCCATACACAATCCTATACCTGTCAATTTTCAAAAATAATGCACTGAAGCGATGCTGAGTCGAATTCGGCAGGTCAAAACGTAGTGCTATATTCTAGTTGCTAAAATATGCAACCGATAGAATGAAGACCGAGTAAATATCATCCTGATAAACCACAGCATGCGCGCCCAAATGTGTGAATTGGCCATATGGAACTACGGTTTCATGCTCTTTAATTTGAAAATGGCATCAATCTAAAGCTGGGACCAAAGCGAATCGACTTTCTCGTTAACTCCAAGGCACTCGAAAGCAGAACTTTGGAAATGTTGTTGGCAGAATCATTGATCTCATAAACCACTAACTTGTCTCGTTATGAAATCAGATTGCACACTTTCTTAGCACCAGTATATATAACAGATCTCTGATAAAGTCCACCAGGTAGCAATTTCAGTGCTCAACAAATACAGATTAACCTGCCAAGGGAGCGCATTAGTCCCTAGCAAATAGCAATGGCAATCGCAGATGTACAATCTCCTGATAAATTCCCAACCATAGATCAGTGTGAATCTAGCGGACGCGAAAATCATACCGTAGTTGCTGATCTCGATGGAACTTTACTCATAGGCAGTAGCTCATTTCCTTACTTTGCACTTGTAGCCTTTGAAGCCGGTGGAATACTTCGGCTTCTCTTCCTTCTTCTGGTTTCTCCTATTGCTGCAATATTGTACTATTTCATCTCTGAGGCAGCAGGAATTCGCGTTCTAATATTCGCAACTTTTGCTGGGATGAAGGTCTCAGATATCGAGTCCGTGGCACGTGCTGTCTTACCAAAATTTTATACCAGTGATTTACATCCAGAAACGTGGCGTGTCTTTTCATCATGCGGGAAAAGATGTGTACTAACGGCAAATCCTAGGATTATGGTTGAGGCCTCTCTCAAAGATTATTTAGGTGCAGATATGGTTTTTGGAACAGAGATATCAATCTGGAGGGGGAGAGCTACAGGACTTGTAAATGGTCCTGGAGTACTTGTTGGTAGAAACAAAGCTGAGGCCCTTCAGAAGGCCTTCGATGCTGCATCAGCTCCAGAAATCGGATTTGGAGACCGGAAGACAGATTTCCCATTCATGAAGCTGTGCAAGGTTTGTCCAATACGATCAACTGCTCTAAACAAACTGAGAAGCATCAATGATAAACCATGCATCAATTATACAATTCCTTGTGTCTAATGCTCATAACATCAATGTTGACATCAACGCAGGAAAGCTATGTTGTCCCAAAAAAGCGTCAAGTCCAACCAGTGAGCCATGACCAGTTGCCTAAGCCAATAGTCTTCCATGATGGGCGGCTTGTCCAGAAACCAACTCCTCTGATGGCACTGCTAACCATTCTCTGGATCCCAGTAGGCTTCCCCTTGGCCTGCTTGCGCGTTGCAGCCGGCGCACTCCTGCCAATGCCACTGGTCTATTATGCATTCAGGGCACTCGGAGTCCGGGTCAATATCAAAGGAATCCCACCTCCACCAGCCCAAAAATCAACAGGCCAGACGGGCGTCCTGTTTGTTTGCTCACATCGAACTCTTCTTGATCCAATCTTTCTCTCCACCGCACTTGGCCGTCCCATCCCAGCAGTCACATACTCACTCTCGCGCCTCTCAGAAATCATAGCCCCAATCAAAACCGTCAGGCTTAACCGCGACCGCATTAAAGATGCCAAGATGATCAAGAACCTCTTAGAAGAAGGTGATTTGGCTATATGCCCGGAAGGGACAACATGCAGGGAACCGTTCTTACTAAGATTTTCAGCATTGTTTGCTGAATTAACTGACCACCTGGTGCCAGTGGCCATGAACAATAGAATGAGCATGTTTCATGGGACGACTGCTAGAGGGTGGAAAGGACTGGATCCTTTCTACTTCTTCATGAATCCGAGCCCTGTCTATGAAGTGACATTTTTGAACAAATTACCGCAAGAGCTGACATGCGGTGCCGGGAAATCAAGCCATGATGTTGCTAATTATATACAAAGGATGATTGCCTCAACATTATCATACGAGTGTACCAGCTTCACCAGGAAGGATAAGTACACGGCATTGGCAGGAAACGATGGAACTGTCTCCGATAAACCTGCAATTGCAGCCAAAAACATCATGGGCTGCTAGAACTGCAAATTGTACACAATATAATTTATAATACTGGTCATCTAATTCTCACAGAATATTATCAGCCAACCCCTGAAAATATATGTTGCACCGGAGAAATGATAGCACTGTAGCAGTATCAAAGTTACAAAATGGTAAATTGCTTATAGTAGAACAAAATACTTTAAATACTCAATCACGTAATAGCAGGTATATTTCATACTACGTTACTGGATTCATTGAATTATGCCAATGAAGCCGTGCTACTCTGTTGACATAACTTTCTTGATTTCATGTTACATACGTACCGTCACAAAAGATATTTTATGAAGGGAGGAATTTCGAAGTTCGCAGCGTAGAAATCTATGGCGGATCGTCGGGACGACTTAGGCGAGTCTTTGACGGGATTCCTGGCCTTTAAGTGGGACTCGTGGATTTCTAGATGATCCAATAGCTAAATATAACTGCAGATATCATCCATCCTTACCGATCCCAATTATTTATTTGCTTCAAATGCGTCGAGTTTGCTAGGAATTCGTCTTTTACTGAGAATGACGGCAAGGATCATAGTCATTTTAATTGGGTATGGAAAGTTAAGAGGAATTTTGAATGAAGACCAATAATGCCGTTTCTAGAAGGCATTATTGTTATTGTTTGTGCAAATATTTGTCTAAATCTCCAATTAGGAGCTACGCTATTTCTTGATTCTCCTGATGTAATCAAAATCTCGTCTTTCTTAGGAATAGATATCTCTGTTTTTTTTTTTTTTTTTTTATTACGAGCAGATATTAGGGACTGCACGTAGAGCAATGTCTTAATGATTTCGCCTTCGGTTTTAACCCCAAGAAAACAAAAAAATGGTACACACTAACCTAAAATCAAAGTCTTAAGATCAAAGTTTAATAGATGATAACTATACACTAAATATTTTTAATAATAAGAGACAAAAAATAAGGCAAATGATGAAAATTAACTCACAGACCAAGATCATATAAACATTAAATAAATTCAATAAATAGACATTAACCCTATACCAATTAACGCAAAAATGCTAAAATACAAATTTAGAATAAGAACAATTGACAAATTAATAATCATAAAAAATCTAAATCACAAATTTAGTACATATAAGGAAACTAGAATGAGCTAATATAAAACACGTTTTTGGAAAAAAAAAAAAACTAAAGAAGATAAACATGTTAATTAATAAAAAAAAACACTTGTTGAGGCGACAAAATGATAGAGTTCAAATTTAAATCTAACACTTCATATTAAATTTTTAATATTATATTAATGTAAACAAATGAACAACATGATATTGATGTGGCCATTACCAATCCCGAAGAGCCATCAGCCCTTTGCCTAGCGGTCAAATTACCACTACATGTGACTGCCATATTGATATGAAGTTCTGTTGACCTAACTCTTTCATTTTGTTTTAATTTTTATCCCATATAAATTCAGAGGACCATGCATTTTTCACAAGATAAGACACCAAAAGAGATGGCAACGTTTTTTCTTTCGGAAGAAAAAAGAGATGGAGATTGGACCATAGGCATAGAAAGACCCACAAATGGTACCTCCTATAGTCTACCTTTGGCTCTACTTGAATTTGTTGTTTTTATAACAAACTACTTTTTGTTCGTGGATTACCCTAATAAACTAAAAAAATATACGCAATCACAAGCTTACAAAACACATAAAAATAAATCTCACTATATTTTCTCCTCCTACTCACCACATTCTACTACCCACACCATTCCTACCATCCTCCCTTTTTTTTCTCTCTCTCTTCCTCCCTTTCCTTAACCTTTCCTCCTCCCCCTCGTTCCTCCTCCTCTTTCTTCCCTTCACTTTTCTCTCCTCTCATTTTTTACTTCTGCTAGAAAAAAGGTAAGGAAGTTTGGTAGCAGCAAGAAAGGGTGAAGGACATAGTTAGGGCGGGTAAAAAGGGGAGGGAAAGGAATGAGAGACGAAGATAAAGAAGAAAGGAGAGAGGAGTAGAAGGAAGAGGGAGATAGGTGTGGCAAAGAGGTGATGGATAGTGTTGTGCGGTGATTTTTTTTTTTTTTTTCAATTTCTAACAATACTTTAATAAAATTTTAAAATACCTCAAAAGTAATTATAGTAAAAATTTTTTATGTACAATGTTACTAGATAGCATTTCAAAAATACCTAATCCATGCAAAGGCATAAATTTTTGTTTTTTTCCCCTAGATTTTAGGTTTTATTTCCACTTTTCCCTTTTATTGGACCCACAATGTGTGTGGTTTGGACATCTGTTCTTATTTGAATTGCTTTTTTTTTTATTATAAAAAATAAAGTTTTTTTAATATTTATTATTAATATATTTTTTAATTATATATTTATTATATATATTAAATAGCTATATTTTTTTAGCGGGCAATGCAAGAACCGTCGGCAGCTATTAGTCTATTACTGATAGCGTCGTGTTCTTTTAATGCTACTACTACCTAGGAAAGGAATTTGACACCAACGGATCTTCTGTCTCACATTTCGTGGCACTTTTTATCCCATTTTTTATTATATTGTTATTTTTTCTTCATAAATATCATGTTTTAATTTTTTTTTATTTTCTTAAGATCCAATAATTATTAATTGAGTAATACACAAAATTTAACAAATTTAAAAAATCAAAATGCATAAAAAATGAGATTTTTTATGAATTTTCTACTGTATTTTTTAATTTTATATTATATATTACTTTTTTAAAGCTGTTATATTTATTTTTTACTTAATTAATAGTTATTAGATTTTAAAAAAATAAAAAAAATAAAAATATAATATTTATAAAAAAAATAATAATATAATAAAAAATAAGATAGAAAGCGGCACATCCAATATGGAACAGAAGATTCGCGGCAAAATTTGACGCAACGCGCTTTATTTCGCCAACCAAACCCCGAAACGGGTAGTGCACAATCCTGTGGGCAATCCGTTGAAATTCCAGAACCCCAAGTACAGAGTAGAATAAAATTGTTGCAAGACTAGTCGTATTTAACTCACTGCCACCAGTGGAGGCTGTGGAGCGAGCTTTGACTTTAATCAAGAGTGTTCTGAGTCTTCTGACGAGCAGGTCCATCCTTAGCCATCCCACCCCACCCGTCGCCCCAGCCTTTTAAAAACTCCAGCTTCAGTTTTCACGCAATTCACCCATCTAAAGAGACGCTGACAATTAAAAAACCAAAAAAAACCGATAATTTCCAGCTCCATTTTTGGTGTATACGTGTTAAAAATCCCATTTGGCAGGGTCAAGATTTAGGTTGAAACGCATTCTCGATGGAGTCTAGAGTTATTCTTTTGCTTCTGTTATGTTTGTTGTCGATTCCGTCGGATCTGTCTGTTTCCGCTGGCCAATTTTCCCGCTGGGGTGGTGGGAAGAAATTGTAAGCATTTTCAGCCCGTTTTCAATTTGTTGCTCTTGGAGAGTGCAGATTGATCCCTGATGTTGTTTACTGTTTTTATCAGAAAAGGGTCGGCGGTAAAGCTGGCCACGGGTGCTTCATCGGCTCCGTTTGATCCGACCCGGGTTACCCAACTCTCTTGGAAGCCCAGGTTTGTTTTCTCCCGCCTCCGTGTATGCATGTTAGTGTATATATGTTTGTATATACAAGCCTTGCCATCCACATCAGATGCCGATCCTTGTTTCTGCTGCCCCCACACCCCCTCCCCCACCCAAAATGGTAAAAGAGACAAGAAAAGAATAGAAGGCATAAGATTGTCTTTGCCGGCCGGTGTTCTTTTTTCTTTTGGCTGAACAATGATGATAATTTTGAAATCTGCAGGGCTTTTATATATAGGGGATTCTTAACAAATGAAGAGTGTGATCATATGATCAATCTGGTTGGTCTTTATCTCCTTTTGCTCTATTGCAACTTCTTTTAACAGTCCTGTGTTGAGTATTCATCTACCCATCGAAATTTGATCTTTCTGTGCGATTTATCGTTCTTATTTGGTTCTTTTACTCGTGCATTTTGCTTTAGCTGCAAGTTTTCTGCCTAAAAGAAATGGGATCATTTATGAAATGTAAGATCCTTTAGGAAGAGAAATTGACTTCTGTTTGGCTGGCTGTGGTTTTGACTAGGCTAAGAATAAGATGGAGAAATCCATGGTGGCTGACAATGACTCTGGCAAGAGCATAGAGAGCGAAGTTCGAACAAGTTCTGGCATGTTCCTTAAGAAGCATCAGGTTAGCAAATTCCCGTTCTTTATTAGTTATCAGTCAGCTAGATATCATCTGTAATGACCATTTGAGTCCCTTAACGTTCCCATTAGTGTGCAACAAACAGAAGGAATAAATTATCACAGTGCTTTTATCTTTCTGGTAGACTAATATCCGGAATATATTTTCTTTTGAAAGAATGTTGAGACATCGCTTCTTGGTTGCTGTTTCTTGTAGAAGGAATACCTGAATATTTTGTATCTAAATAATGTTAAGAGTTTCTCAGATCTTCTTCCTGACAATTGCAACGGCTATTTTATGTTATAGTTACTAGCCATATCTGAGGTTTGAAGCATTTCCCGAAAATCTGCCTGGAAAAAAAAAAAATATATATATATATATATGCCTCTCCTATCACCCTTGGCATTTCGTTTGATTAATCCTCCAGGATTGGAAGAACCTTTGAAAAGCTCTGCAGAATTTGAAACCTGAACCATCATGATCCTTGCAATACTTTTGGGAAAAGGAAGGGTGACAGGGGTCGGGCAAAGTTTTGGTTGAACTCCTGGCAAAAGGCAGAGTCCCAGCTATGTGTTTTGCTTTTCTTTGAACTTAGTGTCATTGGTGCTGACTATTGTGGTGAATAGAATATGTTTGTGAATAATTCCAATGCTAACTTTATTGCATCAAAAAAAGCTGAACACGATTATATTTGTGTTCAAGTCAAGTATGACCCCGATGGTGGTTTTTCATGCAACTCTTGGCAAGCCCCGTGCACATGTTTTTTGAGTAGAGGGTCTGTACGAGGCTGGTTTCTTGAAGCAGCAAAAATTTCCCCTCTCAGTAGTCAAAGGGTGATAACCAGGTGCTCTATGAGCCAACCAATAAACCTAACACTTGGACCAACTATTCTGTGGCTCCACTTTACTATGCTGTGAATGCGCAGAGTCATATCTGGTTGCTTGAGCTTGTATTCCAAGTCATAATACAATATTTCACTTGTAGGTTGCCTTTGCTCTACAGTTTGTGGCAACTGATCTTGTAGATGATGGATTAGATCTGTGCTTGCCACATCTTCTTGATTGCTCTGAAGCGTCTTGCTTTGAGCATCTTTAACAATTTATTAATCTTGCTTGTGTAATTCTTTTTCCTAATTAATGGACAAACATGGAGGAATTCTATAGTCAGCCATCTATTTTTGCCTTCATTTCATTGTGTCAAAACTCTTCACTGCTGGTGTTTTTTGTCCTAAAGAGCATCCTGAGGTAGAAGTATCATTAGCTCTTAGCTGCATTTCGCGCTATTTCAGTTTTCTTCTTGCTTTTTGTGATAGGACTATTGAGCATTATAGCCCAAGGTTGTGTTATAGCTGGATGCTGTGCTGATAAATTGTTTATTTTCATCCCAAAAGTCCCTACTGTTGTACCATATTGTGTGGTGATTTTGCTGTTATGATGCAAGAAGTTGCAAGTTTGGTTGGTCTAATATATATAAGTTAATGAATGTTTAAATTGAATTTGTTGCATCTTTTAACATGTTTGTTACAGAAAATACCTTTTCCTTAACAGTTATTACTTTACTAGTGTATTAAACTAACTAGTTCATCATTGAAACTAAAGATCTAATGGAATTTTTCTCCTATTTTAATAAGGATGACATTGTTGGTGGTGTCGAGGCTAAGATTGCTTCCTGGACATTCCTTCCTGTAGGTAATTTGCTTCTTTTTTGCAATTATTTACTATTAGTTGAAAAGGAAGAAATCTCATTGTTAGTCGAATTTGTATACAGAGAATGGGGAAGCTATGCAAGTACTACATTATGAGCATGGACAAAAGTATGAGCCACATTTTGATTATTTTCATGACAAGGAAAATCAGAAATTGGGTGGTCATAGAGTAGCAACCGTGCTTATGTATTTATCTGATGTTGCGAAAGGTGGCGAAACAGTTTTCCCTAGTTCAGAGGTAATGAAACTGTTGGATGGTTTACCTGTTTTATCTGTTTCTCTAGTTATTTTTTGATAGCAATGTCCTTGAGTCTGTCTGTCAAACTTTTCAGAAAAAGGAAACTCAACCAAAGGGTGATGATGATTGGTCTGATTGTGCTAAAAATGGCTATGCTGGTAAGGACAATGTTAAATATCTGGAAATTATTGGTAGATTTGTTGCATCCAATTAGTATGTAGTGTGTTCTCATATCCCAAATAGCTACTTGAAAAAGGGATAAGGGCACAGATTCTATCATATCTACATTATATTTGGTTTTCGAGTTATATATTTCAAGAATAGAGTTGTCCAAATAGGTATCATGTATGCACATGTTCACATTCACGAGTATTAACATCTGAACGTCTTTCTTTGCAGTAAAACCCAGGAAGGGTGATGCACTGCTGTTTTTCAGTTTACATCCTGATGCTACGACTGACCCTTTGAGCTTGCACGGGAGCTGTCCTGTCATTGAAGGTGAGAAGTGGTCTGCTACAAAATGGATTCATGTAAGGTCTTTTGATGCGCTGTCTACTAGTGAAGATTGTGTTGATAAGGATCCAAATTGCCCTCACTGGGCTGCTTCAGGTGAATGTGAGAAGAATCCTCTATATATGGTGGGCTCTGAGGAGGCTGTTGGTTATTGTAGAGAGAGCTGTAAGATTTGCTCATCTTAGAATCTGAAGCCCAAAATCATTAGAGGTATTTATAGATCAACCCCATCCTTGGGTTGTATATAACATTCGGATATCTCCATGGATCGGATCGACCATTTGAAAAAGTAGTGTCGTTTTTGTCTTGAAGTGTGGGTACTGGAGTTACTGAACAAGAAGAGGCAATCAAACTTTTTCCCTTAACTGTTTCAGACTTAACCCATTTGTCATATACAGAAGCATCTTCTTCTATAGTGAATTGAAATAGGTTTTTGTTGTTGCCTCCTTTTTCACTATGCTTTTGATACTTAACTGGTACTATGGCGCTTTTCTTTGTTGTGGGATGTTGCACGCCAAACTCAGTTCATCCTGTGAGGCCCGAAGTGCACAACTTTAGGAGCCTAAGGTTGTTTGAAGTGAATCTGTAGTTGTTTGGGTTGATCTTTGGGTCCCCACACGCGCTTCCCTCTCTTGCTCTTCTCTTTTTTTTTTGGATTCTATTGTCACAATCTACACCTATTCTTACTCCTATTCTAATTTATACTATGGGGGGATTGAATCATAATCGGATCATATGATAAGGTTTGACCTTTGACCTCACACTTCACAAGGATATGTGGTGGCCAACTACTCTAGAGGAGGGTAGTTGGTTTTTCCCTCTCTTGTTCTTGCTGTTTGGCTTTAGCACGTTTGATTTCCTAGCTGAATGAAGCACGGGAAAATGTGAAAACTCGAAAATGCGAGATTTACAAGTTCACCTTCTTCGGAGTTCAGAATCAGACGCCTGAATGATGTCAGGTTTAAACCAGTGGATGTTCTGCTACCAGAAACTAATGTGCCACCAATTGAAATGGAATAGGAACATCATTTTTAGGCTTATTGAATCATCCTATTAAACCCAGAACGAGGGTTTGTAATATGTGAGCCACGCAGATTTGAGAGAGAGAGAGAGAGAGATGGAGGGAGAAGGGGAGCGTGCGTGAAGAGAGGGAGGGGGGATGTGAGCATTGTTTTTCATGTCACGTCAAACTGTTTTGATGGAGAAAATCATGCATTTGTTGTTAAATGGGGAGCCCTGTTTGCATGCATTTCATGCCCCCTTAATTGTTAAATGCTCGTCTGGAAACGTACCCTGGGAAGCTGTATAATTGCATCACCATTTCATTCATTAAAGATTTTAAATCCCACCATTTCCTCTCTCTAATCTCTGGACTCGCATAGCACACACATACCTGTCTATGCCCTGATGGGAAGACCTCCCTGCTGTGATAAAGCAAATGTGAAAAGAGGCCCTTGGACGCCTGAGGAAGATGCAAAGATTCTTGCGTACGTATCTCGCCATGGCATTGGCAACTGGACTTTGGTTCCTCAGAAAGCAGGTAACTGTGCTTTCACGAACCCTTTTTTTTTTTTTTTCGAAATAGTCAACATTAACTGTCCGTATATTTACTGTGTTTGGATGAGTTTCATTTCAAAGGGCTCAACAGATGTGGGAAGAGTTGTAGGCTCAGATGGACAAATTATCTGCGGCCTGACCTAAAGCATGACAATTTCACGCCTGAAGAAGAAGAATGCATTCTTGAACTCCACAGAACTATAGGTAGCAGGCAAGTTTCCATCTTTTTAAATTGCGAGAAATGGAGAGCACGTTTGGCTGCTTCTGTTGCTAATTGTCGTGCAAAAATTTAGGCTTTGAAAACTCGATGTGAAGTAGGTCGAAATTTGTAAGAAACACAGGAAGGAATGATTTTTACTTCTCCACATAGATAACTGCCGACATCGCTGAAGAAGGCATTAAAAAGGCGTACGATATCTCACTTTGAAACCCAGTGCTTCCGTGTTGTAGGTGGTCTTGGATAGCAAAGCAGCTGCCTGGGAGAACTGACAACGATGTGAAGAACTACTGGAACACCAAGCTGAAGAAAAAGCTCTTCAACATGGGCATAGATCCAGTAACACATAAGCCTTTCTCTCAGATTTTTACTGAGTTTGGAAAACTGGGTAATCTCCCGAGCACAATAAACCAGAATGCACTTCTTAACACTGAACCAAGAATAAAACCAGAACCCCTTTTACTTCCGCAGAAATTTCCCAATGCCAACAACCTCCAAATCATTGAGCAATATGGTCGGACCCTTTCTGGCAATTTTTTAGGTCAGGCAGCATCACAGTTACAAATCAACGGCCAAGAAACTTTAATTCTGCCACATTTACTCGGTGGAATCTCCACTTCAGCTTCATCTCCATCATCTTCGAGCAGCGTCATGAATTTTGGCTCCCAGTCTTTTCCTTGTGAACCACCTCAGCTTCAAAAATCACCCTCTTCTCCTTCTAATTGGAATGAAACAATCCTTGTTGACCCTTTTCCATCCACAGGCATAGAACAAAATGAAGAAGATTACAAAATCCGAGGGATTTCCTCACCGGATGATATTTCTTCGGCAGTGGTGCAGGAAGAGACGCCCCTGCATGCTGCTACCTGCATAATTGAAAACGAAGTAAATGACAAGGCTGGCGTGTCCTGTTATGGGCTAAAACCTGAACCAGAAGCAATGCGCTACATGGAATCTTCTTCATCTGCTGCTGATTCATTCTTGGAGTCCATTCTGGCTAGTGACAGCCAGCTGCGGCTGGAATTTCCTGAGCTTTTGGATGGATTCTGTGATTACTGACTCTGAAAATTTCCTAAAATGAAGAAGTTACTAGAATAAATGTTGACTTGCATCAGATGACCAAGGAACTCTGAGATTCCGTGGAATTAGTCGAGCGAGAGGGCAAATGTTTCAAAAGATCGCGCATTTCATGCACACTCCAATCGATCTCTTTTTGTAGTCTTTTCTAATCTCTTGGAATTTCGTGCATTCATTCATCGAAACAAAGGCTGCTACAATTTTCCCACGTAATTAATTCCCTTCCAGTTCCAGACTCGAGAAGCACCTATGGTTCCATCTCCTGATAGGTTTACATCACAAGCCATCCTTTTCATGACGTTCGCTTGAAGTAAAATGGAGTATGTAATAAGACCACTTGATTTAATTAATATCACCATAAATCAACGAATTCTCCACCAACCAAGGACTCGATACATAATTTGAGCTTGATGTGGTACCCGAAGCCGAAGGGACTACCTACATACACCGCACATGCATGCGAACGAAACCAAACAAGGCTGCCCTAAGCCTTGCTACTCGTCAATGACAAACTCCAACCGCACTGCCAACCGTAAGATGGAAAGACAAAATAAGCCTCGTGCATAAAACCGTTTTCATAGTTTAAGATAGATAGGTTATATAATAGTTGTCGTCTCTGAAAATAAATAAATAAATAAAAATCGTTTTCGTAGTTAACAAGAATAATGTCAAAAAAAAAATTCTTATCATAATATAATAAGTCCCATCTACAGGAGGGAAAAAAAAAGAGAGAGAGAGACACACACACACACACAACCAAAGAGAGATATTGTGTGTGGATAAGCCAAAGTCCATTGATAAATCCATGAGTACATTGCAGAGATCATCCTATTCATTTCGCCGACAAGGATCATCAGGCCGCATTTGGGACAACAGGCTTGCCGGGCGAGAGATAAAGGTGGGTTGTGAGCCGGAGGCTAATGGGACTGATCATGAAAAGGTTCAACAGAACAGATCCATCCACAACCACATTGATGGTAGCTCACGCCCTGCCCTTTTCGCCGATATGACGGCCGCACCCAAAGCAAATAAGGTTCGAAAGTTTTCTATTGGTGCCATCTTCGGCTCATGCGCGCGGCCTTCTGGTGCATCCTAGCACTTCTTCTTCTTCTTTTTTTTTTTTTTTTCCCTAAATTATTAGTGCTTGTCCTAAATGGAATATCTCAGCATTCAATCTTTTTTCTGAATCATTTACAGGAATGATAGGTTGATTTTCCAGATTCCTACTAACCCCTTATCCTTCTCTGTTATTCGGTGCATGGTTGAATTCTTGCTCGTTGTCAAATGAATCTCCCATCTTATCTGGGTTACCAATCAGCCATATGTTGATTTTTCCCCGTCATTAAGACTTTCTTTTCTGCATTTTCCTCCAAATTAGTCACATCACCACGCTCTTGGTGATGCATGTAACACCAAGATGGGGAGTCGGTTTTGCCATGCCGGTTTACTGTTGTCATGTTTTCCGTTCATTCAAGAGCAATTTAGTCGATAAGGAGCATTATTATGTCATAAACAACAATATAGCGCATAGCCGGAGATCAGATTCTTCTTCTGCCTGAATTTTCTTCTAATCTTTTCTCCGATTCACCCGCATTAGGTCATCGCAATTGAAACCAAGAAGCCACCAATTATTTTCCGGTTCTGCAACAAGTCATGCTTGGCCTGTAATTAGCTAAACCATCAAATTTTTCTCCACCATTTGATGATCCCTAAAGCTTTATTCAAGACAGGGCGCCAAAAATTCATTTCGTCTTGGCTACATAGCACATAACCAGTAAATGATAGCCTTGAAGCAATTTGGAATATTCTGGATAACAGTACTAATCATGAATCGACAACAGCTTTTACGTTAACCAAAATTTGATGAATTCTTTTCTTATTCACTGCATTCGAATTTATGCTTTATCTGTACACTCAAATCAGTAACCTGTTCAAATGATAGCCTTGAGGGCTGTAAAGCTGGCTCAGGGTGTGGTTCTTCCCCTCACTAAATTGCAGCTTTGGTTGGCTCTGTTAAGTCAGACGCTCAGTTGGTTGTAATTACTATAACAGATTTTATTTAACCGTATGCAACATAATATACGCTCAGGTAAATCATCAGCCTTGTTACCCTGCATCAAGTTTTCACAATTTTAAGAATGTCAGCTGTGGACCCAAAGAGCACATTCTGGCTTGCAAAGGATTGTAGAGGCTACCTGAATTGTTAGACCAAAATCAAAAACACACTGCTTCAGTCTGTCATGAAATGCTTCAAAACCCTTTCTTGCAATGTAGCTAAACCTGTGTATGTCCAAATCAATCTCAAAGTAGTTTGCTCCCTGAAACAATTTGCAAAGCCAATTACTTCAGTTAGAATACATGGATGACTTGCATTGTACTTTCCTTAGTAGCTGCTCTGCGACTAAAATGTTTTTATTTAGTATGAGCGAAAGCATCAAGACGGAGCAAAAGAGTCAACAGCTTTTTTTTTTTTTAACAGCAAGAGGATCACGAATTGAAATTTTATAAAATAAATAATTGTTTAACACCTAAAAAGGAGACCATTAGGATAATCTATGTTAAATCTGTAAAGACATGCTAAATGGAACAGTACAGTAGATCCAAATTCTTCTAGGACCAGAATATGAATTGCATTGTCTAGGAAGCAGAACAACAAGATGACTGTATCAAGTGTCATAGAGCTTTTTAAGATAATCCTTACCAAGTAGAATTCATGTTGAGGACGTGAAAGAACAGGCTTTTCATTGTAGGTGATCATGAGCTTCTTTTCAGCCACACCCAAGTTAAGATCTTCCATGTTCACCAGTCGGCCCAAAATCTTCAATCTTTCCCTAAATGGCGCATTTGTGTCCAGAGGAAAGCTTTTGATTTTCTCAACTTCACCATCAATTATCCTCTATACCACCAAAGACCAATTAACAAGAAGATCAGGTTCTTTATTTTTGGTATAACAAATGGAATGATCAGCAAAAACAATCAATTTCTAGACAAAAGGAATCATTAGAACTGCCAAATGGTTGCCATACTCAAAGAAATAAATGGCAAAAACCAGCTGCGCGAAGCTAAGTTCATCCAACTTACCCTGATATTTTCTTGGAATTGAACTGGAAGTTCCTTCGAGTAATTCTCAGAAATCTTGAAGTAGAAAACCAAATTCATGCCTTCTCCATCACATTCACTTGAAAAAATAGTTGCAGGGTACAGTGGTATCTGCGAAAGTTCAAATTAAAAAGGCAGAGAAATGTCAGACTGAGATAATATTCCATGCCAACTCAAAACACTTCCTTCCACACAAATAGGAAAAGTAAAACCACAGTTATACAGAATAAGAATGCGTATGGAAATTCCGAGCAGCCAACATTTACTTCAATATTCCAATTTGCAGAGAACTACTTCAACAACCACAAGTACAAAGGAAATACATACCTGAAGATTTACAACAAGAATTGGAGGAACTTCCCCAGCTGAATCAATTGAAGGAAGTTCCACAAAACGTGCAATATGATCAATTTTCCGTGGAGACAAAAATACATCGACACCAAAAGGATGAAATGCTGCATAGTTTGCAGCGTATTCTTTCTTTTTATCCCTGTGAAAGAATTAGGTCAGGCAGACACATCAACTAACCACAATAGATATACCAGAATAAAGGAGCTGAAATCGGTTAAGAAATCCAAAGTTTGTTAGACCTTGCAATCAAAGTTACCATACTTGTGCAAGTTCAGTTATCTGGAATGTTAAATTGTTGAGTCTCAAAATCAAGTGCTCTTACCTCATAAAATTCTGTCCACGAACTCTAAAAGTATTGGGAGCAACCTCTGACCAGCATTCGGAAATTCTTTTCTCAGCTGTGCAATGCGGGACCTGAGAACCAGCTAAAGGTCTTTGAACAGTAGCCCTTGGCGACACTGAAATGATAAAGTGGAAATTAGGCTTACTAAGTCAAACAAGACCACTTACAAAGCAACAAAGCATACAGGAGCCGTGTTGGGAGAGGTGGATTTGCTCATCATTTTACAACCTACCGAGGATTCTTAGTAAATTTTTTCCTGTAGGGAAATAGACAGTGACAGTGCTAACTCCTGACTAAGGATGAGAAAGTGTTGACAATAATACTTACATAAAGCAGAACTAGCTTGTCCTTCTCGGCGTTTAAATGAAAGCTTAAAAGATGATCTTTTCTTGAAATTTGTTGAATGAGGGGCTAATGACTTTGCGGTCTTCTCTTCTCGGGAGGTAGAACAAACAAGGCAAGGCAGACAGTTATGAGCTTGAGGTCCACAATTGTGCAACTTTGCCGTTTCACTTTTTACAGCACTTCTATCCACGGAATGAGAAGAGACTATATCAAAATGAGCTTGATCATTTGCCTGCTCCTGGTGATCATCAGCTTGCAGCTGAGCATTGTTCATATTCCCTTCTCGAGCAGAATCTTCTTTAGCCGTATGAGCTTCCAAGTTGCTGGATGATGGTCCACTTGGCTTCACTTCAGGATCAGAGGGATAAGCCACGTTAAAATGCCTGTTGTCAGAATATCTTGGAGTAACAACGTCTGACGAGGATCCACTTTCAATTTGAGACATATCTGCAGCTCAGGGAAGTCATACACAACAGAAATTAGAAATCCAACAGGTTGATTGCTGGAAAACTAGAAATCACACCGTCAAATTGATACTCAATTCCAAAAACGTTCAAGGAAATTACCATCTTGAACACTATAAAAATCATCATCACCATCAGAATCAATCACTGTGTCTGGATCAAACCAAGCCTCAGATTTTCCTGCCAAGCGCAGAAGGACCAAAATAAGCACATGCAAAGTACAACACTCAGAACTTGAGAAGGGAAATAGAGAAGGTCAGTTAACAGACAATAAACAGCGAAAAGCGACTGCATATCAGCAAGTCCTTTTTACAATGTAGAAGACCATTATACCCGAATAATGATCAGGAGAACTAAAGATAACCTAAAAGTCCAAAAAAGGGAGAGGGGGGGGGGGGAGATAATGCTATGTGAAGATATATTAAATAGTTGCTCAGCAGAACGCTATGCTTTCAATATCCAGTTCCTCATCAATCCAGGACAAGATTAGCTAAAGTAGCCCAATGCATAGAAGCAAGGCAGATTAATGTCGATAATCTTGTCTTTCACCAGCCCCAGCTCCAATTCAAAGAAAGAAAAAGACACGCAGCTACTACCGACCATGATTCTGACTTCACACAATGTGAAGGGAAAAAAAGAAAAAGAAAAAGGGGAAATAGATTTGGTACCTTGGTATGTGGGATTGCGGTGAGGAAGATCCGTAGAATGAGAAGGTTCAACCTTGCTGAGCTTGTTTGAAAGAGATTGAGTCTTGGTTCTTCTCCTTGGCCTCCCAATCCGACGACCCTTTCTTCTAAGATTCAATCCACCCACTACACACTTGCTGGGTTTGGATACGCAAGCTCCCATTCTGTAATCTGTCCGGAGAGACAACCGATCAACAAAAAATGGAAACCAGGACAATACCCTTCCCACTTCCCACCCCTCTATCTATTAAGTAGAAATTATCTCTGACCATATACGTGCTAGATACTTACTACTAGTTCCGTATTTTCTCAATTCCTGTACCAAACACTGAAGGGTAAATTTTTATTTTTTTGAAGGAACTGAAGTTCAGGTAAAGTGAAACAAGAACTCGTTAATTTTGGGGACAAGCCGACAACTTTATAATGATCATCATAGTCCCATAGTTGTCTGATACAAATACACTTGTACCAGTAGGGCCTAATTATTAATTAAGCCAGATTTTTGGTCAACGAATTCGAAGGACATGGAAGACTGGGGTGGCTAGCATGGCAATAAGCGCACGCAGCTTCTTCCAGGCTGGCGGAGTAGGGTTCCGGCTCCCATTTTTGTTACTGCCATTGCCACGTGGATGCAGTTGAAAACGGACACCACACTGCACTACACATTGGTTAAGACGTAAAGATCACGCGCAGATGGATTTACGGACATATTCGCCCTGGACACGGCAGCCGTCCAATGCGCGTAAAGGTGTCCTCATACTGGTGGAGAGCGTGAGGTGAGGAAAGGGTAAGAGAGTATAGTGGGAACAGGAACTGCGTGACGCGTCGATTGACGGATTGAGTTGTTTTCACTTTCCACGACTATAAATTTGATTGATGTTGAACTCTCTGTTGTGTTTTGCGTTGTTGTGGTCCGTCCTTCCCTTTAGGAATAGGGTACGAAGGCTTGAATGGGTTAGGATTCTTTTTTTGGTAACTCGTAACATGTTTCAATTTGAGTAGCTGGAATACGCCGCAACCTCACACGACGACGCATCTCAAATGAGCCATGAGGACGAGGATTCAAATTTAGGGTAAGATTCAAATTTAAAATAAAAAATGAGTGTTAAAAGTTCGATTATCACTAATCTACTTTACTCTAGCGGAATCAGGGGTTAGGATTTTGCTTGTGCGTGTGATGAACTATGAAAACTTGGCCTTTTTTTTTTCTTTCTAAATATATAGTTCTTTCTAAATATTAATATTATTATGACACACAGAGAAAAAAAAAACTTGATAAAAGGTTTGCGAGCGAAATTGGAATGCTAACTAATTCATTTTGTAACTTCCAAAACTTTCATTGTTGTGTCAATCAGAGATCAATATTGATAATTGCCACTTTTGCATCTAATGATAATGCAAAATATATTAAAAAAATAAAATAAAAAGAGGGTTGGTTTGTCGGCATAGCCGTTAGGGTGGTTTGTCTCAAGACCATCATGCTGTTTTGTGGTGGGTTTTGGAGGCGTGGTTCGTTGGTGCTGTCAATTCTAACGCTTTGGGCAGTAAATTTTGGAGGCGTGGATAAAATTGGAGTATTTAGTTGCAATTTTGCGGGCACAACAGCCAGGTTCAAGCGTTTAATTCTTACAGTTGACAAATAAATGAATCCTGGGGGGGCCACACCACCAAATGGTAAAAATGGACTGTCCTTATTATTCAATCACAGAGATTAATCAGGACGGGTCACTATTGTTAAATATTAGTGGCAGTAATTGATTAAAGGCGTTGTTGGGTGTTCGACGATTCCTACGCCTTCAACGACGGTTGAGAAGAGGAGATACCCAGGGCCCAGGCCCATTATCGTTCGTAGGGGCGCCCAAATGATAAGGGCTGTGTTTGGATCCCCAAATATTTCAAAAACTGCATTTGTAGTCCAAAAACACGGAAGGAAACTAACAAACATCTACAGTGTACATTTTAGAAAACGACACCGTTTTATAATTTCTGTCTCGTCTCTGTTTTTGTGTCCCAAAAACTGAACGCTTGTCAGTATTCAGTAGTCGAAAGAGCACTTTCCTCTTCTCTCGCTCTCTTTGCCCAAGCTTCACCTCTCCTCCATTATTGCTCTGGAACAATCGCAGAACCCACATTCAACTTGAGCCGAGCTTCTCCCTGTAGACGGCATCGATTGTACGGCTAATGCAAGCCACCTACGGTAGGTGAAGAGATATCCTCCAGTAAGATTGCTATTGCCGAAGCTGCACTATTTCCGCCATTGTTGCCTTCGAACAACCTGTGTTTGGACATTCAACTTGCGGCGAGGTTGTCCGACCATTGCGGCTCCAGATCTACGGCAAAATCAAATCACTTGAGGCACATTCTTCTAGCGTGTTAAACGGTCGTCTCAGCTCATCAGGTTAGTACTACCAGAATGAGTTCTCGACAGTATGTTTTGCATTTGAAGTCTATTTTTTAGCAATGATACAACAAGTCTATTTTCAAGTATGTTTTGATAGGCCGATTTTGATGTGTCGAGACCTTCATATCATCCCTGTATTAGCATTCTGCCCAAACCCCCAAATCTCAGCTGATTTGTCTAAGCTGGTTCAAAAACCCCAAAATCTGAAAGTCTGTGCGTTGGTATGTTAATTGATAAGCCTCTGTGAAATTTTTTGTGGTATGAACATACAGTTGTCTCCAGTGTGTCTTCAGCTTCAGACGGTTATCAATTGGCAATGGTTATGCTTCCTGTTTGGGTTTAATTGCAGAAAATGTCTACCAGTTGCAATTGATTATCCAGTTGCAATTTTTATTAGGCTAATAATCTCTTATATCACTGGGTTTAGACCTGTTGTGGCCGACACTTTGCCAAAACTGTTATTGCAGGGAGGTACTAATCATTCTTATATGCACTAGCTTTTGATATAGTGTCGCAGTCCTGTCTTTTTGGCCATTTACCACGCCAGGTCCGTATATTCTCCACCATGGAAGTACTTCATTTCTAGCAATAAAATTCAAATTAGTGCTTGTGGTACAGCTATTTCAAATTAGTGCCTGTTGTACAACTATATCCATTAGTATCTGTTCCTCTGTACGTGCACCTTCTATAATTTCTATGAATTAAGAGTTGGAAAGTAGTTATCAAATAAAATTGTTGGTTGAGCTTGCATCTGCCTTCATTTCAAAAGCTTCCGCTTGGGTCTCTTCTTTTAAATAGATGGTAATATGTGTTATAACCCATAACACTGGTATTTAATATGGCTTTTGGACACTGTTAAGAGTCTTATGGCCCTGAAGTTCAATTGTTTTCCGCAGCTTAAATAGCCTCATACTAGTATTTTTATGTATTAAGTTTAGCTCAGATTTCTACGGTCAACCTTCTTCGCTTTGAGGTGAACCATTTAGGTGATACTTTTTAGAAGCCTACTTCAACTACATGCCCCCTGTTACTCGACGTGCTTGGAAGGGTATGAACTACTTCCACGCTCAGGGTCTTTATTAGATTATATGAGTATTTATTCATTGTTGGATAATGCTAACTTCTCTCGCTGTCCAGCTTTTCAAAAAAGTAGGCGCCTAGGCAGTTATTCTTCGAAGTCAGCTTGTGGAGAGAACGATTTGCAGCTGTGCATCACCAACTACTTCAAGGTAAAGCTGTTTAAGCCATGCAAACTGGTTGAATGCCATATATTAGAAAGAAACTATGCCATGCAAACTGTTTAAGCTAAAAAATTTCCTTTGCCATGCATTGTTTCCATCCTAAAGAATAAAAAGATGAGTCGACCACGAGCAAAGTATTCCCAGCGTAATTCTTTCACTGAACAACACGAAATTGCATTTGCCCAACATCTATTGAGTATGCATAGGAAGGGAGAAATAACCCCTAACAATATCGGGAGTCATGTCATCCCCGAAGTCATGGCTACGCTTAACGCTACCTTTGGCACTTTCTTTCCCAAAAACACCATCAGATCGAAGTACTACGCCCTGCAGAGCCAAACCAGACTGTATATTTCATTCAAGAGACGAGGTACTGGTATGGGTTGGGACTCTTCGAAGTACACATTCATGATGGATGATGGCCGCTGGGCTGATCTACTCTAGGTTGGCTAACTTGTACTTATATAAAGGTTTCATTTCGGTTATTTTTCTAGTCTGTAGACTTGACTATGTGACCAGGCTGTGCAATTACTCGACGTACTCTATTCCGATATTTTGCTTATCAGTACATCAAATCTGTTTGACAGTTTTTCATTTCAATTTCCTTTCGATAATTTGCTGACTGACGACCAAAGCAATATAGCCTCACAGAAAAGAACTGTCTTGGGTGTTTTATGCATTATCTAATGCTTGTTTTGATGTATTTTTTGAAGGTGAACAGCGACTTCACAAGGTTTTATAATAGATCATGCTATGTATTTCATTTGCTTGAGGAAGTCTTCATGAACCAAGGCGCTATAGGGGACTACAGTGGGGCACATGAAGAATCGCCCCTCAACATCGATGAGGAGTTGGAAATGGAGAATGCTGCGAGAAGTGCTAAGCCCTCGGATGTTGTTAACGTTGGTTCATCGGGTGAAGATGTTAAGTTACCCTCGGCTAGGAAAGGGAAAGGAAAAGGGAAAGCGAAAGTGACTAAGGAGAAAAAAAAGCGCAAATCGGGAGACATGTCAGAGGATTCATTCTTCTCAGGTTCTTCGAGGGAATTCCAACAGTATATGCGTGTGCTAGACAGCATTGACACAAAATTGAGTGGTAAAAAGGGAGATAGCATGATTGGTTCGGTCTGTTCACCGTCGAAGACTACACATCGCCCTGTGGATGTTGATTCTGAGCTAAAGGCCGCGTTGGCACAGCTCCTCGCCTTGAATCTAGACATATATGTGCATTTGGGCGTTGCTGATATTTTGCGAGATTCTTCAGAGCGGGCGATCTGGAATACTTGCACTACTGATACTGCTCGTCTTGCATTTGTGAGGCGCAGAGGGTTCTTACCCCCCGAGTAGATCGAGACCAGTCCAGTTTTATTGTAGTTACGCTTATTAGAGCTTGTTAATTTCCTATGTTTTCCTCCCTGCTCTGCCATTTGAGTATTGAGTTGGCAGTAGGTTTGGTATGAGTATGACTATGCCTTAACTTTAGTAGCAATGATGCCGTTGTATCGGAAAACTGTTTTTCATTATTTTTTTCCTTTTTTTTTCCGCACATGCTTGTATGAAACAATTGTTTATTAGATTTTTATGTTGCCTTTAATT